AGTATCTGCATTTTTTGAAGACCCTGTATGAGGCAAATGAAAATATGACTCGGAGTGAAGATCCTCATAGTATCACTCCACTCCATTTCAAATTTGATCGTTTTAGTGCAAGAGAGTTCAAGATTATCAGCATTTATAAAAGTTCATGTTTGGTAAAAAAAATATCGAAATTAATTCATATCTTCCAACTGGTAATAGATATGTATAGGGAAATAGTATATGAATTTGTTGACAAAGTGATAGTGAATCATAATATGATATTATATACAGGGTGTTCCATTTGAAAAATCATAGAAGCCGCTACTTTATAGTAGAAGCGACAACGCCGCTTCGTCTGAAATATTTTAGGCGTGTAGGTCATATTGACTTTTGCATACTGTGGAATTTTCAGATTGATCCGTTGAATAGTTTGCCAGAAACGGCTAATTAACGCTCATCATGAAAAGCCCTGTATATGTTCCATATTTCAGTACAAGGCCCAATTCATAATAATAATTTTATTTCAGGCTAAAAAAATGAATGTGGAGTCTTTGAGGGCCAACCAACAACAACAAAACGAATCGGCGGAATTGAGAATAGCCAAAGCCGCACTGACAGTTTGCTTCATGTTTGTTGCTTCTTGGACGCCTTACGCCGTTTTGGCGCTCATTGGAGCTTTCGGAGACCAGTCTCTTTTGACGCCGACCGTCTCTATGATCCCCGCTTGCACTTGCAAACTCGTGGCATGTATAGATCCGTTCATCTACGCCATCAGCCACCCGCGTTATAGGTAAGTCAAAATAGGGGGGCTGAAAAGTACATAGACTAACACACAGATGGCGTTACTTGAATCGAATCCATACGATTTTTGGTTAACCCTAACCTTCAAAAGACGCGAGTTCAAATTTCACAGCACAGTTTGTAGGATAAAACATTTTGAGTGAAGCAAGTTTTGTTAGAAGAAGACGGATGAAAAGGACTTTTTTGTGTTGATGAAACATTGATTTTTGGCGAAAAAAATACTGTTGAAGGTTGTTCCTGTTCACGAAAGAGGCGATAATACTAATGTAGGAAATTACAGGAGAATAAGCGTCTTGTGATAGAAAATGCGATAGAAAATATCATCTCCCCCCCATCAACATGGATTTCGTAGGAATTTTTCGATCGAGACTGTCTCAGATGAAATGATACAATATATTCATGAACATTCAAATGGTGGACTACATGTTTGTGGTATCATTTTTGACCTCGCGCGAGCATTCGAAACCACAAATCCTAAATTATTGTGTGAAAAATTATGTGAAATAAGCATACGAGTACCCATCAACAGTTGGATTCATTCATATATGACTGAAAGAATAATTGAAGTGAAAATAAACAAGACGTACACAGAAGAACGGCAGACCGAAATCGGTACGCCGCAGGGAGGATTGTTGGGACCTCTTCTTTTCCTTCTTTATGATAATGGCTTGCCCCGTTTCATTGAACATGTTAGGCCATTCATGTATGCCGACGATACAATTATCATAGTAATATCGGAGATCGTAACCCTTGTAATTAGCAGCTTCACTATATGGTGCCAAAATAACCATCTCATCAACAATATGTCTAGAGCAGTTTGCTGGGTTAGTCTAATGACTTGAATCTAAATCTAGCTCAGTAAAAAGTGCTGTTCCATCAAGATAATGTAACGTGTCTCAAATCAATGAGAACGATGGCAAAATTGCATTAATTGAGCTTTCAACTGCTTTCGCATCCACCGTATTCTCCAGATTTCGCCTCCAGCGACTTTTTCCTGTTCTCAGACTTCAAGAGAATGCTCGCAGGAAAAAAAAATCAGCGCCAATGAAGAGGTAATCGTATAACCGCTATATTCATTTGTATCGCCATCGAATACAACTGTATTGAGTAATGGAGAATGTTCCTCCTGACGAAAATCAAGCAGTTTTCATAAAAGAGCTCTAAAACAACGCATTTTAAACTTATCATTTCAACCATTTTCTTTAAAAAATTATGTAAATACTCAAAAAAGAGGAATGAAATAATGCATTCAACATTTAAAGGGATTCGTTTCTGTTTCACCGTTTGGCAACATCGATTATAGCTAATAAAGGACACTGAATCTGTTACCTGTATGGGACAAACAAAGATGACATATTTCAGAGGCGTGCTGTTCAGTTTACTTATGTTCCGAGTTCCGAGACATTCTGTGACATTGTGCACCTAACCTATCCTCCTCTATATAAATAAATAACAAAACAACTGTTGTTTATGTGGCTTGTGGAGGTGGTATTGAACTATAATTTATATTTTGCCTTAATTTTTGATTTATAAAGATAATTTTCCTTTTTTAAGGTGGAATATCTAGGTACGTATAAATTATTTCAAGTTGATATAGGCGCTGTTGCCAATATGTGAGTTAGAAACAAATTCCTTTAAGAATTGAAACCCAAATTGAGGAACATTCCCCATTAAATCGAATTTTATAAAGAAAAATGTTCTATGTAACGATTGCAAACATGTTTTGAACATGTTGATGATCGAGAACAAAAATCATTGGAGGTCACCCCTATACACCCGGGAATATCCCCTATTCTGGATTCTAAACCCTCCCAGTATTTTTACGGCATATATTTTCAATCTCCTGTTTGTAGTAGATGTTTTCTCGTCTATTCATTCATTATGTAAACGCCAAATTAAAACATAGATGGAAAACGAAAACAGTCTAATCATCTTACACATTAAGTTCACGAAATTGACCAAAATAAAGTCAAAAGCACCTTGAACTACTTTTATTGAACCCTTTTTATTTCCTGAGAGATCTCAGGAAGTAAAAATACACACATCGGAAAAGTCTAGGGATATTTTTAAAAATGGCAATAATTTTTTTAGATCGCTTTAGGGAAAAAAAAAGTTGACGGGTGATTATTAAACGAATGTAACTTGCAACAAAATTTATTAAATGGTCAAAAATACTGAGTGCGCATATAAGCAAAACTAAAAAAAAATGCATAGAATGTACAAACTCGACACTTTCAGATTATTCATTTTATCCGAAAACCTACAGTTTGTAAAAAACTGTATAAAAGATTAGTTACCGTTTTTGCAGGCTTTGTTCAACCCATAGAAATCTACAGGGTGGTCGAGTGTACCAATTTAATCGAAATTAAACGACCTCATGCATTTATTTTTATGATATTCAGTATGTTATACAAATATCCCTAGACTTTTCCGATGTGTGTAGTTTTCTACTCTTACTTGGCTGCGTTCCCGTTATTTTTAATCTCAGCCATGATTATACTTTATGTCTCTCAGCATAAAATGACAATTTATCTGTGAGGTGTATTTTCAGGGTTGAGTTGCAAAAACGACTACCCTGGTTGGCCATCAAAGAAAACGATACACAATCCACTGCGACGGAAACAGCGTCTTCGTCAACGCCTGCTACAGCAACAACATAAGCCCATCCGCTGAAAATGTAGGAAATGATATTCAATACCTTGAAAAAACAATTTTCCAGCACTCCCGAAAAAAAACATTGAAAAATAAAATAATATATTGTAACGGCAGGGCTCAATATTTTTGTCATTGTAATCAGTTGAAAGGAAGTAATAACAGATCATATTGAAACTGTTTTCATAAAATACAGTTTTCCAAGTATTGTATAATTTATTCAAAACTGATTCGCTATAAACGACCTGGCAATGTTTAAGGACAATGATAATGGATCAAACACCTATCATTCGAATAGAATTATTTCAGATAGATCACAACGCAAAATAAAATTTGAATTTCGAGCATTTTTATTTGCCAGTGTAAACCTTCAGTCACCCTTCCAGATATAGTCGATTTTCTGGAAAAAGCACCACCCACAATGTTAAAAATTACTTTTGGACAGCGTCTAGCCAGGTGAATTTTGAAACAGCCAAATATCAACAAGGCGTCTGGCCTTGTTGACCGTGAAAACTCACCGAACTACAAAAGATCGGACAGAACAGAATTTTCGAAACAAGTGGAGGAGCACACATTGAATTGTGCACGGACCACATAACACCGAAGTACATCTTCAACACAAACTTCACGGCCAAAATCATAAGCCATGAAGAGTGGAAGACCATTTGTCATCCCGAAAACATGTTTGGAAAAAACACCTGGTATACAGATGGATCGAAGACCAAACATGGAACGGGAGCTGGAATATACCGAGCGGATAGAAATTTAGACTACAGCTATCTGCTAGGTCTATACACATCCGTCTTTCAGGCGGAATTGTATGCTATCTTGCAATGTGCAAGGCTCATTAAATTGAGACCTCGAAGAAATGAGCGGATCAATATTTCAGCAGGAGCGCATTAGGGGCTCTGACAAACCCAAAGGTGATATCAAAACTGGTATGGAAATGCCATGAATAACTGAATGAACTTACAAACAGTAACGAATTAACTTTGTACTAGGTGCCAGGGCATTGAGGAATCACAGGTAATGATAAAGCTGGTGAATACGCTAGACGCGGATCATCAAGTTCATATATGGGTCCTGAACCAGCTCTGGTTCAGGACGATATGCCATATCTTAGATGCGATTCAACCACAGCGTGGTACACAATTTTTGCAGTTACAATACCCAATTCATTTGACACCGTTCGTAAAGCATAACATCCCGAAGCTATTTTTTTTCTCAGCAAATTAATATGGTTATTGATATTGAGGTTGCTGTCCAGATTGATTCCAAGAAATTTATTTAGTTTTTTGTTTGATATAATATCATTACCCATCGGAATGCCTGACAAGTTGCAATTGAATGATGAAAGATTTGTTTTTTCTATATTGAAGGATAGCAGATTGGAGTTGCACCACTCTCTCACTTTAAGAATATCTTGTGCTATTTTGTTTCGAAATGTCATGCCACAGGATGGTTGTATCATCTGCAAAAATTGTGAACGTTCCCTCAGAATCAACATAAGCTAGATCATTAAAATACAGAGATAATATCTGACAGCGTGTCAGTTCTCACAACTTGGGTTCCTTGACTCAGATATGATTCCATCCAGTTAAGGCTTTGATTTCTGAAACCATAGTGCTGGAGTTTGCGTAGCAGAATTTCGTGGTTCACACAATCGAAAACTTTCGACAAGTCACAGAAGACTGCTGCGCATTTCTTTTTCAGGTTCAACTCAGAGTAAAGTCTTTTTAGCAGATGGAAAATTGTATCCCCTGTACTCTTTTTGGATTGAAAGCCAAATTGTTGAGGATTTAAGATTTTGTTGGCAGATATGAAATTAATCAACCTAATTTTTCTATAATTTTACCAAGGGTTGGAATAAGCGAGATGGGTCGAAAGTTTGAGGGATCTGAGGTGTCACCCCCTTTGTGAATGGGGATCACAAAATTTGCTTTTAAGAATTGTGGGTAGGTTCCCTTGGCAAAGGAGTCATTGATAAGTTTGACTAGTTACTCTAGAGTAAAGATTGGACTTGGACTAAATGGACGAAGACAAGTCAGACAGCTCCCAAGGTTCCAAAAAAAAACAGGTTCAATTCAATGCCACAAAAACCCAGACATCGGTTTTCTCCAAGAAGATAAATGTCTCCGAAACGGATGTAATAATGCCAGGACAGACAATTCCGTTTTCCGCTTCGATAAGTTTGTTGGGGGTTAAAAAGGGCATCAATATGTTTTGGCACAATCATGTCGCTGGAATTGCAAAGGCGGCTTCTCAAAAGCTTGCAACACTATTCCAAATCAAAAATCTGTGCACACCTCAGCAACTTCTGATGCTTTATAAGCTCAGATCAGACTTTCTTTGGAATATTGATCTCATGTATGGAGCTGCGCCCCTTATTTTTTGAACAGAACTCCTGGCGAGATCAACAAGCCAAGCGCACGTCACTAGATACTTGCAGCACCAGGCAGATAGATTAGAGGAATGGGCCAACCTGTGGAACATCAGTATACACCCTGACAAGTCAGGCAATACTGTTCACCAGGAGGATGGTACACCCGGAAGGAAACGTCATCTTCAACGGACGGGAGATTCCGTGGACCAACGAAGCTAGATACCTGGCGGTCAACCTAGACAAAAGATTGACGTTCAGGTCTCACGTACGGCAAAGAATAGGAATGGCGACATCTGCCTGGCAAAATCTATTACCAATAATAGGTCGAAGAAGCAACATGGGACTGAAAGTGAAGCTGCTGATAATAAAGACCGTAATACTACCGATAATCCTTTATGCCTGCACTGCCTGGGGCCAGTGCGCAGCGACATAGAGAAGACAGATCCAGTCGTTTATGAACGCGTGCATAAACGCTCCAAGATATGTACCGAATAGGTACATATTCCGTGATCTAGACCTGAACATACACTACGTGGACGCATACATGAGAAAACACGCAGAAATCGAGCGCACGACAACCCAGCGCTAAGCGACCTACATAACGCACTAATCAGGGATGACCCCAGATTCCGAGAGAGGGACAAACATAGGAGGACAACGAAACAGAACCAAAGACCACCCCCGAGAGTTGCTGTCAGGCGACTCCGTTAAGTATAAAAATGTCTTAACTAAAAAGACACTCGTCTCCGGTTAGTTTTCGGGGACCCCGTGCAATAATTCAGTTAGGAAAGTCATGATAAAACAATTCAACAGATCAGAAAGTAAAAGCACCTAGAGGCTGACCTTTGATCAAAAGCAGGTCAGATGTAAATCTTGCTGAAGAGCCCATCAGTAAGTTGAGGTCCGCTCCGGAGGAGCGGGGGTGGATCAACAAGATGGGATGTTCTGCACACATTAGATGTGTAGAGAAGATTTTAACTCAGGGCACTCAACCCGGAAGGGGGCATGAGGGGGAACAGACTTCGTACATGTTTTCCTCGTGTTTGATGCTCAAGTTAAGAAATACAGATGGCTTCCTCTCCGTGGTCCTCCCGAACAATATAATCAGCGCAATTTCGCAAACAGGTTCAAAACATACAAAGTCGGAAAAATATAACAGGGCTTCCCCTAATGCCGGACCTGTAACTCACCGATACTTTGAAAAACGGTTGCTATGGAAAGCAAACAAACCGACTGCCCATATTCGGTTTATAAAATAAAGATGACAGTTATCGGCAGCAATTCTTGAAAAACTTGTTTCAAAAGTGGTAAAGAAGAACCGAAATACTACAAAAATGGATGAAGAAGAAACGGTGGGTTCTGGCGACAATTTGAGCGAGGATTTTAGATCCCGCACGAATTCAAAAACATCCGAGTCCAGCCTCGAAGGACGCAAGTCTCGCACACTATTATGCAAACCGCCGTTGAAATACAGAAGGTAGGTTTCTCTGTTTTGTTTTGTCATTCAGTTAGGAATAAAGGTAAATTTTCGTTATGTGGACACCCGGCGATTTTGAAAAAAATTTTTGACTGTACTTACGTATTTTGATGCGTAGATTACGAATCCGAAAGAAAAAAGCGGCGCTCTCCCTCATTTAAAAAGTTACGGCCCTTCAAAGTTCAGAAAAGGGCAACTTTTCAGCCTTCTTTTTCACTAAATAAACTATTTAAAAACACAAGCATTTATTCACGAGGTTACCTTTAAACCTTATTCCTCCTTCTTTAATACTTTTCACTTCAATAATCAACATTTTTCTTATAAAAATGTTAAAAAATGTACGGAGCTGCTTTTTGGTTACATATCACTGTATTTTACGTTTTTAAGGTTGATGATATGGTTGGTACGACTGATGCAGTCCATATTCCTGAAGTAATTCAAATGTTTTTTACCTTCATTCTTTAGATCGTAAATTGGTTTTTGGTGGTGTATTACGAGTTTGAAATAGTAGGCGACGGCAAATACCAACCGCTTTTTTCTGAAATGTCACTAGTAACTAACCTAAAAATAGAATAATGTCACCAGGAGAAGCATTCGTTTTTAAATTAAGTTTTTTATAAGAAAAATGTTGATTATTGAAGTGAAAAGTGTTAAAGAAGGAGGAATAAGGTGTAAAGGTGACCTACTGAATAAATGCTTGTGTTTTTAAAGAGTTTATTTAGTGAAAAAGAAGGCTGAAAAGTTGCCCTTTTCTGAACTTTGAAGGGCCGTAACTTTTTAAATAAGGGAGAGCGCCGCTTTTTTCTTTCGGATTCGTAATCTACGCATCAAAATACGTAAGTACAGTCAAAAATTTTTTCAAAATCGCCGGGTGTCCACATAACGAAAATTTACCGGAATAAATGTATAACAATTCACTAAAATGATTCATATCATGAGAACTATTGAGCAAAAGTGATTATTTGCGGGAGGAATTCAGGGTTTTTTAGAGAACTTTCTGGGAAATGTCACCATCCATGATCGGAAGAAAAGAAATGCTATACTTTTTAGGTTACCCTGATAAGTTACCGCGTAAATTAAAAGTATTTTCACGCAGTGAAATTCGCTATTAGATCAAACCATTGTATCTCTTTCTGCACTGTTTGACTCAAGCAAATGATACTGATACGTTACGATCCGAGTCCTTAACGATTCTGAATGTTGTCAAACACCTACAAATTATGCCAACATTTCATCTACTTTCTATTAATTTTGAGATGGTTATTCAAGTGACAATGCATGACCAATGACACAATTTCTCATAAATACGTTTCCTTGCCGATTCATATTTACACGTGGAACTTTTAAGTAGTCTCCCAGATCACCAGATTTATACCCGCATGATTTCTTTTTTGGGGGGTATCTGAAAGAATGTTTTTATCGGCAGAGAGCTTCAAATCTTGCTAAATTGAGGTGAAAAATCATCACCTTTGTGCCATCATTACGTCAAATAAACTCATAGATATGAGATTATCTCTGTATCACATATTTGGCTATTGTTTGGTACTATACTGTGGTTTATTTAGGTTTCAGTTCATTACTTTAGATTTTTTGAGCTGCATTTTACTTTAGTTTTCAAAACTGCATGATTTTTCGAGTTTCAGAGTACATTTTCATTTTTTTTTTCAATTCGAAGCGTAGCGTAAAGAGGTTCAATCGAATATATGATATTCTGTCGCGAACAAATCTCTAATTCTATTGCTCGACTGCTATTGGGGAACCCGTTCAGAACGTGTTGGGATTCGTATGTTCCGATATTTGTTTTCCGCATCTATATAGTTTCAACTTCAACATTTGAAATGATTCACTACGTAAAACAACACCAACCTTTTTTTATCTCATCGCATCGGTTTGTGAGGCCACTTGAATTTATTTTATCCTGCGATAGTTTCAATTTTGCGATAACTCCTGAGATATTCATTTGAAATTATATGATGTAAAGGACAACTATAATGTGCATGAAATGATTGAGGTAACTAACGTAGTCATTTGACAAGAAATAATATCGTATCCATGTGAAAAACTTTCCGATTACCTCATTATAACCATTATTTTAAACATAATGTAGCATAATGTCGGCCAGCGACCAAACATATGACATCACCGCAAAAGGAATGCAGTCGGCAACCGCCGATTAAACTCTAGTTGAGTACCGAAACGACTATAGAATTCTAGAACGATCGTTATCGATATATAAGGCCGGCTTCTCGTCCCAAGAATGCAGTTCAGAAAGTGAATCGAGCGGTTAAACAAGGAATTCAAATAGTGGAAATAAATCAAGCGTTAGTTGCTAAGTGTTGTGAATAAATTAGTTTGTGATAGTGAAATATTGTTGAAAATAAATTTGTTTAAGTCAGTAAATTCTTCAATTTGCTACAATAAAAATGGGTATAGTAAGCTATCCTCAAAATACATATATACTCGATCGCGGACTTTTATGTTGTCCTATAAAAAAGAAGAATATGAAGAGAATTGTTTGATTATATCTCAATGGGGTTAGAACACTGAAGGAAAGTTGGAGATCTGTCGCTGTTCTGTTTTTCTCCTTCTTTTTATTTTTCACCAGAACGCTCTAAAACGTTTCTTATTCAATTTCAGGGACCCAGACGCCATACCTTTTCATATCCCACACAAAAAACTCCTCGAGAAAATTGAATCCAAGAAAACGGAAACTGAACCATTGGTAAGCAATTGCACTTTTTCTAAAGAGCATAACACTCACAGTTTTTGTTCTCTCAAATAGCAATTGTATGGCCCAATGCATATTTCGTGAGAAATTTATGTGACATACTTTTACAGGCTGGATTTAGAAAACTCCAGGAACAAATTATTGGGAGTCGGAAAAGAGAACTCGAAGAAAAAAAGATACCTGTAGTTGTGTCGGAAGTAGTTCCGGCAAGAAAAGGTATTTTGGAATTCTTGAATAGTTGTCAATATTACTTGTTATGTACTGTTTGGAACCTTTGATGTAGTAATGAATATTAACCGTTATTTTCAACACTTCGACACGCGTTTCGATCACCAAGTGATCATCTTCAAGAGGAATACTCTGTTGTAGCTCGAGCAGGCGTGCTATTCGTCGATCAAGAGAAAAAAACTCCAGTAAAACTAACCAATGTAATGAACCAAACTGAATGGATACAAAAAATGAGAGAATCGACGGATGGTTCCTTTGTTTATCTTACGTACGCCGTTCCTAAATCTTCGGAGCTGTTCAATCCTTACGCTTTGAGGTAGGGTTACAAGTACTGGAAAAAATCACCCTGCAATATATTGAAAAAATTAATGTAGTCATTTTTTGGGTTTAAAGACAGTCGATTTTTGGAATTCCTTCCTGACATTTAGCTGGCGCGAGTCCAGCTTCTTCAGAGGTTTATAAATCATGAGTTAATCTCCGATGACTGGATATTACGGCTGCGTAAAGAGTATTTATGTTGGCACAGGTAGTTTGGGGTGCTGATACCTTAACCTGTCATGTTGTTTTCTTGAACTTCTTAGAATGGTATTCCATATTCAGCTTCTTCTTTTCTGTTGAAATTATCCGTGTGTTTGTGAATCTTTATTGCCTCCCATATCAGTCAGCTATAGATTCCCTGGTTGGCGGCAATGAGTTTCGTTTTTTTTAAGGTCCTTCAGCTTTGTTCCCATAGATCTTTTGGTGGTTTCGATGTATACCTTCCCACAACTGAGTGGTATGCGATATACCCCTGCTTCTGATAGTGAGTCTCTTCTGTCTTCAACCAGAGGCCTTGTTGTATCTTCTTGGTGGGTTTGAAAACCGTTTCAATGCTGTGTTTCCCCAAGAGTTTTCCAATTCTGCCTGTGGCCCCAGGGATATGTGGTAGATACGCGCGTGCAACCATCTGATCCAGCTTCCCGTTTTGAATCGTGGAACTCTTCAGTTTCATGGCTTTGTTGATCTCAGATGCACTGTATCCATTGGATCTTAAGGTCACTTGAAGATGTTCCAGTTCTTTCTCTACATGCTCTGGTTTACATATAATTCTAACTCGTTCAGTTAGAGGAGAGATGACTCCTCACTTTTGACTGGGATGGTGGTTCGATTAGTACATCTGAGAATGTTATCCGCGGGTCCTGTTCAGTTTCCATGGTACATGGTGCTGGGGTGTTGAGCGTTTAAGTAGTCTAGAAAAGGTTTAGAGCGTCCCTTCCATGTTTCCAGATAACGAAAGTGTTCTCCACGTAATGTAGAGACCCACCAAAAGAGACCCACTATCATCAGCAGGGGTATATCGCATACCGTGCACTTGTGGAAAGGTATACATCGGAACCACTGAAAGAGTGGTAAGAGAGTCATAGTTACGACCGCACCAGGGGGCCTGGGGGGCCAGACGCACCCTGGCGTTGGATGCGATCGGGCGTGGAGGGGTGGATTTTCGGGAAATCCTTGCGGGTACCACCCTTCACCCCACACCAACAGGATTTCGCAGGGCTTCCTCCCGCTCACCGAACCCGGAATTGCTTCCTTACATCTACTTAGTGTGGCTAACCAAGAGACAGGACCATCGACAGCGTTCGACCGAACGTTCGTACAAGTTAACTAAGCTCTTCTTTCGCCAGAGAGTGATCACGTCGCACACCTGCCCCCGCCAACCATGCCAAATCAATTGGGAATATGGTCCCGGAAGTGGCCGGTCGGGGTCCTAAGCTCGGATACTAGTAGCTCCGTCCAACCGGGGTCCGACACCTCAAGCGTCTGCCTTGGTGCCCTCCAAGACTAGACTCTTATACTAGAGCCCGGAAGGACCGCGAGCCCCGACACCTCGAACGCTCGGATCCGTACAGAAGCAGGCGAGTATCACGGAACAGCATAAGCCGTCCAGTGCCTCAGTATGGGGCTGCAATGCACCCATGAATGGATTACCGCAACCCTGTATCCCTTTACCCGCTAACGGAGCCGCGGCCCCTAAAAGGCCAACGCCAGTTGGAGATGAGGCTCACTAGCCTCCAGCCGCGAGCGGGCACTCACCTTCCCCATAGAACTCATGTTAGGAAAGTTCCCTTTCCAACGTTTGATGAGTAACCGTCGAGGACTCTCTCGAGCATCCTCTACCACACATCATATGTCGAAGATGTCGCGCCCATTACCCGTGTAGGTGCGGGATAGGGCGGTTCATTAACAACTTTTGGGTGTACGCCGTGTGGTCCGCGCCGCATACCCTTACGTTACCCCGAGGGGCACTCATGTTAGGAAAGTTACCTTTCCAGCGTTGGATGAGTAACCGCCGAGGGCTCTTGCGAGACACCTCTCCCACACATCTAGCTTGAAACCGGCCAACGCCTGTTACCCGCAGACGCGGGATTGGGTGGTTGACCGATAACTTTACTGGGTGAGTGCCGTATGGTCTGCACCGGGGGACTGTCAAACACCCATAAGAGAGAGACAGTGATCCCCCGCCACTCACCCCGCAAATCTGAGCAAATCTGAAGGAGTATGAAAGAAACTGCAGGCTAGGTCGAACAGATGAGTCAGCTGTGGCGGAACACGCATTAGGTGAAGGAAACTACTGGATTCTGTTTGCCCCCAACCAGGGATGCCATAGCCCATTGGTACGGGAGGCAACAGAGATTCAAAAAGACACGGATGATTTCAACAGAAAAGAAGAAGCGGTGAACCTCAATCGAATATGGAACCCCATTCTAAGAAGTTCAGGTATAGCAACCAGCATGACGGCAGGTAGAAAAGGGTAGACAAATGTTATTGGCAATTTACCTAGTCCCGGTACAGGTATTATCACACCAGACTATCTGTGTCAACATGAACTCTCTCCTAATCCAGGTAACTACTTGAGTCAACATAAATATGCTTTACGCAGCCAGTAATATTCAGTAATCGGAGAATAAACACCCGAAGAAGATAGCCACTCGTGTCAGCGAACTTTCAGAAAGAAATTCCAAAAACCGACGGCCTTCAAACCCGAAAAAAGTGACACTGAAAACCTCGACCGCGAAACCCTCAACCATTTTGTAAAAAATTAATCTTGACCAGCATCGCCACATACAAGAACGTCGACAAATCGAATTTCTTCACGATGAGCTCGAAAGGGGTGATGCAACACGTCGGCAGCGAGATAATCTTCACCACCCTCGACAAGTGGGAGGAGGAGTACCAGATGTACTGCCGACTGATGGAGATCAAGCTGTTCTTTTTCTTCCGAAAGTGGAAGGGCTTCTACGTTTGGAGGCGGAACGTCATCCAGAGGAAGATGAACTATGCCAGGAAGCACCTGGAAGAGAACATGCTCGTTTTGAATCCGATTCTGAGGGATGGACTGCTCAGCATCCAGGAGATGTGCTACAAACTGGTGGACGTCACGTTCACCGATGTCGGAACTATACAAGATATCTGGTTGTTTTACTTTATAGAGAAGCAGGTGAGTTGCAATTCTGAATGTACTGAGAGTGGAAGAGGTAGAAAAGTTCACTGTGGGAATGGATAACACTACACTTTTGAAATCTACAAGCTCCTAAAGTCTCCTGACATGTATTATTCTCTCTTCTCCCAATCTCAAACGATCAATACTCATTTATGAATACCTCCTAACTTATCTCAAAAGTGCTTAAAATTTCATTTTTCAAGATGGATAAACTGGATGTTATCAAAGCGAGAATTGACGAATACCACGACGTAACCAAGGAGCTAGTAGGGAACGCCTGCCATGGAGCATTGTTAGCGAAAGGATTCGTTGTAGATGAAAGAATTGTTGATGACACAAGAGGTACTGACAAATCAAATGAATTACTTTAAATTAGCTGTCATTTTTTACATGATACAAAATATGAACATCGAGAAAAAAACCTTTTTGACTATATATTTCTCTATCATTGAACAAAAATGTGGGGGAATCTCACAGAGAAAGGAATTCACCCACTTTCTTGTTCACTGATGAAAATGTAGAACGTCAAAACACGTTTTTTTCCCTCCAAAAAACTAATCTTTCCTGAAAAGAATTCCCTATCAATTAAAATGAGCATTGAAGATAGTTTTCAAGAGTTCTTTAATTTCTAGATAAAAAATTTAAGCGGCCCCAAAAGATCAGCTACATAGAACAAGCTGCTAAGAAAAAATTCTGTGAACGTCTTGCTAGGTGAGTAAAGAAAGTCACACTAGAATTTTAATCGTTCAACAAATAAGTTCACCGACTGAAATTAAATCTTTGACAAGTACAGTATTTCATTGTTTGTCAAAACATCGCCGCATTGAATAAAGTTCAATATCCGGCGGGGTTTCAGCTTCAACATTAGTAATTTGACCTTCCACCTTAATACATTCTCGTTTTTCGTTAGCTTCATCATGCTGGTGGATTATATAAGCATAAATATGCTTCACCAGCTCATTATCAATTCCATAAATGAGCTCAACGGGATTTTCGAAATGCACACCCAATTCTTACCTACTGAAAGTCAGTTGAATCTCACGGACAGAATGCAGATCGATATTAAACGACCAGACGAGTATCCCGAGGTGAGTTGCAATAAGAGTTTTGTGTAGGTGTTTCTGTTCTGAGATTTATATTCCACTTTTCCCTTCCGTTATCTTCGATTAGTCATTAATTCATATCCATTCATTTTCTAGCTTCCATTATTTATTGTGTACATCGTTTTGAAGGAGACCAATTTAGTTTTGGATCCGTCACTGAAAGTGACCTGTGATATTTTTCAACAAATAATCGATTTATGGGAGGAATATGCAATTTCCGTCAAGTCGTATGTTGCAGACCCCTTTTATTCTGTATTCACGACGTGAGTAAAATTCATCGATATGTTGAATTTCACTAGTTCGGACTTCCATTGTCTACTATATAAAGTGATTTGAAATCCCTGAAACAACTAAAGAAGAAGAATTGAAAATGAATAGTTGAAAATAACAATTATATTAATCAAAATATGAAATGAAATAATAGTGAAATAAAATACAAGTAAAAATAGAACAATTGAATAAATAAAAATAATGAAAAGAAAAAATCACCCATCTTCGGGTGATGACTGGACTGATTCCTCCGAGAGATGACTATTTATAGGTCGTTCGAGTACTTTCACTTATCCCCGCTTTCCATTTTCCGCTTCCCTGGTTCCGTGGGAGATGACCGTTTTGGCGGGAGTTGGCCATTTTTCGCTTGATGATGGGTTTCCATATGTTGCGTATTTCTACGCTGGCTTGGCTGAATACGTTGTTGGACAACATGTATGCGGCTTCCTTGAATTTTCTCCTAAACCAATGTTCCTCTCTGTGCAAGATCTCAGCTTGGGACCACTCGATGTTGTGTTGATGGGTCCAAACATGGTCTGCTATTCCTGATTTGCTAGTTTCCCCTCACTGTGTGTGTTTCTTGTGCTCGGCAATGCGAACATTCAATGGCCTCTTAGTTTCACCAATATAAGATTTTTCGCACTCACAGGGTATCCGGTGAATGCAATTCTTGGAATCGCAGTCCGCGTTTGGTGGCCTGGTTTCCGTGAGGCTGCTACGGATAGTGTTACCGGATCTGAAGCAGGTTCTGATGTTGTACTTGGAACCAATTCTTCTTATCCTCTCCGATAATCCTCTGATGTAGGGAAGTGCAAGCACTGGTTGTGACGCCTTCTCTTCCTTGCGAGGCTACTGCTGTCTTCTAGCCAAAGTCTTTTCTACCATCGCTTTGGAGTAGCCATTCCGTTGAAGATCATTTTTGATGATGTCTAGTTCCTTCTCGAGACCTTCCTTCGTATTACAAAGCCCAAAAGCACGGTCTAATAGAGTCTTGATTATTCCTCTCTTAGTCGATTGATGGTGGTTGGATTCGTGTTTCAGATACTGTCCCGTATGAGTGGGTTTTCGGTATACAGATGTTTCCCACTTAGTGTCGGTCCTCTTTACCAAAACGTCTAAGAATGACAATTCGTTGTGGATTTCCTTCTCCATTGTGAAATTGATGGAAGGTCTCACGCTGTTGATGTGTTTCAGGAAGGCGTCGAGTTCAGTATTCCCATGGTTCCATATTATGAAGGTGTCGTCAACATATCTCAACCAGACTCGAGGTTTCTTGTGGGCTTCTTCAATGGCCAGAGTTTTAAACCACTCCATATATATGTTGGCTATGACTGGTGAAAGTGGCGATCCCATTGGCAGTCCCTCATCTTGTGTAAAGAATTCGTCCTTCAGTTGGAAATAACAGTTTCGTACACGGCATCCTAGTAATTTCTCTGTATGATTTGGAGTGCTTTTTCGACCGGAACGTTGGTGTAAAGGCTTTCCACGTCGAAACTAATTAGTTGATCTTCCTGTGTGACCTCAATTGACCCTAGTAGTTCGACAAAATGCCTTGAATTCTTCACTAAAGACGATGTTTTTCCTTGTAATGGTTGTATTAAGGGAAGTAAAAATCTAGACAAGTTTTGAGTAGCCGAATCTCTGGAGCTGATGATCGGTCTAAGCGTTGTTTCGGGGATTTCAAATCATTTTATATAGTAGACAATGGAAGTCCGAACTAGTGAAATTCATCATGAAACATTGTCGATCACCTTCATCGATATGTTAATCATCAACAAAATAGTAACAACCCTTAAAATTTCACACCGGTTTCTTTTCAGGCCGGTAATAAACGAGAAAATCGAAGACAGAATATGTGGCTGGGGACCGACTCTGGCATTCAATATATCCCAAGATGAACATCTGGTAGCAATCAAAGAAAAAATGTTCGATTATTTCGAAATAAACTACAACACTGCTACTGTTTTCTTGAAGAGATTCGAGTCCGTCAGAGATTTCTACGCCGAAGATCTCTTAGTAACCGAAAAGGATATTACGGAAGAAAAAGGTTGGATACAGTACAGTCAATTGATGTTTACACATTCGTCATCGATTTATGCACAAACCATAATAAACTCTCACAGGTTGCGATCGAATATATCCATTCACTTTGATTCGTTACACCACGTGTAACCAAACTATTGATTTTGAAGTGGTCCCACGTTGGGCGCCAAACATACGAGTATGAAATTAATATCATGTTCGGGTTTATTCCAGAGCCTGACTCGTGTTACTTAATTTTTGTTTATAGATCTGGAAAAATTTCGAGCGATGTGCGCAAGATACCACTCAGAGATAGAAATCGTACAAAGTATGTCTACCACTCAACCCATGGGAATGTTGTATCTTCAGCTGTCTGGGTTGAAGAACTCTGCAAGTCCAGAACCTAAAAGGCTTCTCAAGATCGTTGAGCACACGTTACCCTGGTGAGTTTGTTTACCAATTTTCTCTCAAGATTCATCTCAATTTCTAAGTATTAATATAATTCATGATAGAATCAATTTGAATTTTAGGATCGGTCAGACGAAAGTGGACGCTATGATAGCAGAAGTTAACGAAATTGAAGTCTTCTTGCTCCAAGAACCTGTTGAAACCTTAGACTATGTCAAGTATTTGGAGTATATTGAGCAATGTCCATCGCGAGTAGACAGGATGGAGGAGGAACTGGACTACTGCAAGGAATTGTACGACATCATGGAGGAATTCAGAATCCAAGTCCCGCAAGAGGAGATGCAAAATTATCTGGGGCTGAGCGTAACTCTGGGTAACCTGAGGAATCTGGTTGACAAAAAGATCGAGGAGACTGGAATACTCGTGAAGCAATTTAACGATCAGATGAACAAAGACATAAGCCAATTGATTTCGGAAGTTGGTACAATAAAGGACGAGTGTATGGTAATAATTATTATTATTCTACTGAAGATAAAATATAAACGCGAGAAACTTTGGCACATATTCCGTAATAATGTTCGTAGATGGAAAGTAACGTGTTTTATGGGAATTATGTTTGTTTTGCAGCAACCTTGGCTATACGACATCGACTCCAATATAACTGAAGTTATGGAATTCTTAAGAGATCTCCACGACCGTCTGGCGATTTGCCAAAATCGTGCAGCCGAGTTCAAAAACTATCAAAAACAATTCAGAGTAAGTTGAATATAATTTCTATTCGCATAGCTAAAAAATCAGTACACTTTACGACGCTAAAGTCAATAGGCAATATTATTTATTAGTTTCATTTCAACATATCCTTGATTTCACGAATTGTCCTTCAATTTCTACTTGAGTGATGGAAGATCTTATCGTCTTTTGTTTCGAGCTTGTCATTTAACGGCAGTTGATTGGTTCAGCCTAGCACTACTGATGAAACCTTGGCGGGTCGAAACAACGTTGTCTTATGTTGGATCACAAGCTCTCGGCCTCAAATTTCATGTAATTTTCCATATAATATTGTAGTAATATTCTATTTATTGATATTGTTGATCAGAACAGTAAAGGTACTAGGCTGGTTCTGGCTCATTCCTTATGGAGATTAACATGGGAAAACAGCTAAGGTTCATTCTGCAATTTTTTGTTCCTTTCAAGGTCACGCGTACGGCAGAGTCCAATCAGAGCGCTCCAAATTGTCACGTGACCTAGATGCATCGTCGCGAGTACACCACACTGGCGCCACCTATGAGTCACTAGCTGAACTATCTATTGGTTGAAGAAGGACACTGTAAACACTAATCCTAGCGCCACCTATGAGTCACTAGCTGAACTATTTATTGGAAGATGAACAACGTATGTTGTTCATCGTCCTACACCATCGTAAGATATTGAAGTTAACTGCGAATGTTGGGTATTTATAGCCATCTAACATCAAAACAAATTGTACGGTACAATAATTACTGTAAGAGATATTTTTCCGTAGATTGTAATCGTCATTATCATATTGAAGATGGGAAAATATACTTAGATTTGGGAAATAATTAATATTTCATGTAAAGATGTGCATGTGTGTGTATAAGAGCGAGAGGCGCGTGTGACGTAATCGATGCACAAATTTACGTGGCTCTGCGTATATTGAGAGATTCATTTGAATAATTTATCGTACAGAATTGTTTCATGTAGTTCACAGTGTCCTTCTTCAACCAATAGATAGTTCAGCTAGTGACTCATAGGTGGCGCCAGTGTGGTGTACTCGCGACGATGCATCTGGGTCACGTGACAATTTGGAGCGCTCTGATTGGACTCTGCCGTACGCGTGACCTTGAAAGGAACCAAAAATTGCAGAATGAACCTTAGCTGTTTTCCCATGTTAATCTCCATAAGGAATGAGCCAGAACCGGCCTAGTACCTTTACTCAGAACACATGGAAAGGTGGACCCAAAGTGAGAACCTGAATCTGTTGTCAATCCATTAGTAAATCAACAGATATCTTCACTTAGTGTCTCCCCCTGTCGGATGATCCAACCCTCTTTACTCATAATTAGGACTGAATACGGCAGGTTGTAGTTGACTGTTTGATTCAGTGGTCATTCTCAGAATGCTGTGGTTTTTACTGTCAATTGCTCCGCATAAGCCTGTTTTTGCAATTGTCAATATGCACAATTGTGTACGCTGTTCATCGAGCCTTTCTGTTCAGAAAAATGTGGAGAAGAGGTGGGCCTAGTCATCGGCATTGTTGTCCCCGGCGTTAGTTTAGTAACAAAATGTTACTGTTTGGCGTTGAAAATTACTTAGTTGCGTTTTTACCCATTTTGTTATAGTTTGAGAAACTCTCAACTGATAGTTTACGCACCGGAATTGACAAGTGACGCATCAAAACTGACAGATGACGTATCATAAATGAGAGTTAACGTATAAAAACCGACGATTGGAGAGCATTTTTACACGTCTTTTGTCGCTTTTGATACGTCAATTATCACTTTTGGAGATAAATAAGCTAGTGTGATCAACCTATCGGCGCAAAATGCTGCGCTTGTGTGTTTTTCCACATAATCTGTTACAATTTGTTTTCGAGCAGGAACAAAACAACCATTAACTCTCCGTCATACTCTTCCTCCTAAACTTAACTTTTCTATTCAGCTTGAAGTCACTCGCTTCGAAGTGCTCGATGAGGTTATGCAAGACGTTAAACTCCGAATACTCCTATGGGAAAGCGTCGATTCCTGGGCCAAAACAGTCGACGAATGGTATCACTGTCCGTTCTCCGAGCTCAACACGGAAGACATGAACCTTTTCATCGCCAAGAACTTGAAATACATCAACCAACTCGAAAAGGGTCTGCCGGGTAACTTGATCGTTCCAAAGTTGAGAGACGAAGTGGAGCTCATGAAGGATAAGGTGAGTTATAGGTTTTTCTTTTCGAATGCCTGCGTCTAACCTAGATATTTTGTAGCTCCCAGTTATAACGTACTTGAGAAATCCTGCGATGAAAGTACGACACTGGATTAAAGTTGAGAACGTTCTTAACTACAAGTTCAAAACTGACATTGTCACGACCCTGGAACTTCTGGAGAACCTCAACGTTTTCAGTTATCCCGCAGAGTTGATGGAAATATCTGGGCAAGCTAGCAGTGAGTCCAGTTTGGAGGCGTTGCTGAAAAAAGTGAGATTCATTTTCTATGCTGCTTTTTAATTTATTTCTTTCAATTCCTTACCTTCTTGGTATCTTTTTTTATACATCGGTCGCATTCACAATGTTTAGAGATTAATGAGTATGTACTATTTCAGGTGGAAGAAGCGTGGAAAACTCTGGAATTCATAGTCATTCCGCATAAAGACTCGAAAGATGTTTTCATACTCGGGACCCTGGAAGATGTTCAAGCCGTTCTGGATGAGAGCAACATCAATATAAATACAATTGCGAGTTCCAGACATGTCGGTCCCATCAAATCTAAAGTTGACGAGTGGATTAAGAATCTTGATCAGTTTTCTCGAACCTTGGTAATTTTTTCATGTTTGAAGTGAAGTTGTTATGAATTAGGTGGATAAGAATGTTAGTGGTATCGCGCTGGTGATTGGGAAAAGTGTTTGTTTTGAACTGATATAAAATCAAAACGAATGTGATTACAAAATATAATGTACAGGGTGATTCAAAAGTAATTTGACAAACTTCAGGAGGTGATTCCTCACAATATTCTAATATGAGTTGTCCAAATAAATAAATGTCCGGAAACGCTTCGTTTCCAAGATACAGGATGTTGAAGTTTTATTTTTATTTTCGTTTTTTTCAAATAACTTTTGAAATACTGAATTTAATTAAACGAAACTTGGTAATAGGAGGTTTTTGAGGTGTCGAATTCGAACCTGATGTTCTTATTGCTCTTACTCGTAGGGGGCGCCACCTACACGTCTTTTTCTTTTTTAAAGATTCATAACTTTTTTGTCCGGAAACGCTTCGTTTCCAAGATACAGGATGTTGAAGTTTTATTTTTATTTTCGTTTTTTTCAAATAACTTTTGAAATACTGAACTTAATTAAACGAAACTTGATAATAGGAGGTTTTTGAGGTGTCGAATTCGAACCTGATGTTCTTATTGCTCTTACTCGTAGGGGGCGCCACCTACACGTCTTTTTCTTTTTTAAAGATTCATAACTTTTTTGGGCGTACTTCTATCACATTTTTCAATAAAAAAATCGATTCCTCTATCATATCTACGTAAATAAGCTACCCTTGTTACTAGTTGCTGTAAGCAACTGTTTTCTAAATATTTGGACTTGAAAATTTCAAGTCGATTATTTGATAATCGATGCATGTTGAAGTCATTACGAATATTTTGCATTTTTCACAAGAATGCTTTGGAAATAAATTTGACGTTTGTGATGAGTTTTGGTAATTATTATATTTTGTGACAGTTAGACGTTTTGTTGAAGTTTCCGTGAGTAGAAGTAGAAAACACTTATTTTGAAAAAATGGATTATAAAACAATAATGCTCATTTAGCCGATATGCATTTCGTTTATGGTCTTGCGGATGGCAATGCGCGCGAACAAGACGTATTTACCAGGAGCGATTTCCTAATCGAGTACTGCCTTCAGCTCCAACATTTGCTAATCTCCACCGTCGTTTGGCAGAAACAGGTATCTTTAAGAGGGCAGCTGATATTATTGGAAGACCACGAGCAGTCCGTACCCCAGAATTGGAAGAAGCTGTTTTGAACGCTCTCGAGGAGAATCCAGAAACAAGCACAAGAGTAATTGCTGAAGCTGTCAATTCTACTCAGTCCACAGTTTGCAGAATTATCCACGATCAACAGTTTTATCCATACCATATTCAAAGGTTACAAGCTCTTTCCCCAACGCATTACTATGTGTCAATGATTTTTGAGAAAATTGGCTGGAAATCCTCAATATTTAAGATATGTACTCTTCACGGACGAGGCAAACTTCTCCCGAAATGCTATCACAAACTTTCATAACAACCATGTTTGGGCTCTCAAAAATCCGCACGCAGTTAGTGAAAGGCATTATCAGGCAATAATTGATAATTAGTTGATAGGTCCTTTCTTTCTTCCGCTCCGACTGAATGGCGCAACTCACAGACACGTTTTAGAACATGAATTGCCGGGACTACTTCAGAATGTACCATTAGAAATTCGTATCCGCATGTGGTTTATGCATGATGGGGCTCCCGCCCATTTTAGCTTTGTAGCCAGGGAATTCCTTAACACAGTCTATCCAAATCGATGGATCGGTAGGGGTGTAGAAGAACCTAACCAGGCGTGGGCACCAAGGTCCCTAGATCTAAACCCGATAGATTTTTATTTTTCGGGACATTTGAAGTCACTAGTTTATAAGACTCCAGTAGTGAACGAGAAAGATCTAAGAAACCGAATAGTAGACGCCTGTGAAACAATAAGAAACACACCAATAATTTTTGAGCGGGTACGAGATTCAATGACTAGAGGACTGACTGCCTGTATCTTCGCTGAAGGTGGACACTTCCAACAATTTATTTGAATACAATTTAGTTTCGTTTAATTTAGTTTATTCTACATATTCAAAATATCCTGAAATAAAATGTTGACATTTCTTGCAAATGTCATTAAAACAAATACTGAGTATGCACCCTTGATACAAAAATAACTATTTCGCTTAAGGATGTCATAAAGGAACGTACCCAACAGTAATGACCTCTTCAAACGAGTAAAACGTCGAATTCATTTCCAAAGCATTCGTGTGAAAAAAGCAAAATATTCGTAATAACTTCAACATGCATCGATTATCAAATAATCGACTTGAAATTTTCAAGTCCGAATATTTAGAAAACGGTTGCTTACAGCGACTAGTAACAAGGGTAGCTTATTTACGTAGATATGATAGAGGAATCGATTTTTTTTACTGAAAAATGTGCTAGAAGTACGCCCAAAAAAGTTATGAATCTTTAAAAAAGAAAAAGACGTGTAGGTGGCGCCCCTTACGAGTAAGAGCAATAAGAACATCAGGTTCGAATTCGACACCTCAAAAACCTCGAATTACCAATTTTCGTTCAATTAAGTTCAGTATTTCAAAAGTTATTTGAAAAAAACGAAAACATAAATTAAACTTCAACATCCTGTATCTTGGAAACGAAGCGTTTCCGGACATCCTGAAGTTTGTCAAAGTACTTTTGAATCACCCTGTATAGTTAGATCATGTGTAATGATACTATCGAGTATCATTTTTTAATGTAACTGAACGCTTTTTTACATGAGTTTTGTTACCACATCCTGGCAGTATCAACCTCATTCTTTCGATGTCACCATATACATTTATTTTTAGGATGAATGGATGACCTGCCAGCAGAGTTGGATTTATCTGGAAGTGATTTTTTCAGCTCCTGATATACAGAGACAGTTGCCAAACGAAGCAAAATTATTTATTGTCGTCGACAAGTCTTGGAAAGAAATCATGAGAAGAACAGCAAAGGTAAATAAAAGAAGGTCTTATTCAATACAAAGTAAGTCTATCTACAGATCGTGAAATCATAGTTTAAAAATCATTCAGAAACTCCTAAACGTCCTAAACACGCTCTTTAAACCAACTCAATGTTACGACAGATGCCTTTGGCGATGGAAGCTGCGCTATACCCTGGTCTCTTGGAGGCTCTTCAGAGAAACAACGGCCTGCTTGAGCAAATCATGAAGTGTCTCGAATCCTACCTGGAGACGAAACGAGTCGCCTTTCCACGTTTCTACTTCCTGTCCAACGACGAACTACTGGACATCCTGGCGCAGACGAGGAATCCACACGCTGTGCAGCCGCACTTGAGGAAGTGTTTTGATGCCATCGCCAAACTGGAGTTCGGCGTCAAAGCGGCGGATGAGATAGAGGGGGAGAGCTCCGGGCAGCTGAGGAGTAAGTCAAGCGCTATCATTTTGACGACGGATATCATCGCCATGATCAGCCCCGAGGGAGAGAGAGTAGCTCTTGGTAAAGGCTTAAAGGTGAGACGTTTAATCTTCTCGGTTAATAGACGGGCTCAAGATGGGGACATTTTTTTTGAAAGGTATTCTCCAAACTGAATTCACTGCCTTTGTAACAGTTGGATTTCTTGTGACGCTAAGTGAATCAGTTTGGAATAGTTATGAACGAAATTTTGCATATTTATATTCTTTCAATAAAAACGTTTATTATTATGAAACCATGAATATCAGTGTCATATTATTTTTCCAATTGTTGCAATGACTGACTCAGTCATTGCTAAGACTTGCAGACATGTCGGGTCTCAAATCCGACAATAGATTATAATATAACTGACTACATTAACAATGTATAAGCTTCTCCTGATTCTAGGGTAATGAAAGGTAAAATCTGCAAATATCGTTGATGCCACATTTTATTTATACCATATAATGATCATACAGTGTGACCCATTTTTAATGGAAACGCCCCCCTAAAATTTGAAGTTGTGCATCGATTTTAATAAATTTTTTTCTTGATGTCAAGTACTAAAAGGTCTACCTTGGGACAAAATTTGAAATGTTTATTAAAGTTTCAGGGCATACTACGATATTTTTTCTTAGTCGAAAATCGGGATTTTTTATTAGCGATTTTTTTATTGAAAAAATCACTACGCCACTGGATTCAGAGTGCCTCTAAACAGGTGTGACCAAAATTTCATGAAAAAAAATCCATGATAACTCATGGCAACTCAAAAATTCGAAAACTCACACAGCTAACAGTCACAATATATCATTTTTTTATGATTTCAACAATAAAATACCGCCAGATGAAAAAAAAACAAATAGCGTGAATATTTTTAATGAAAATAACGGAATTAAATTCACACAATTCAACCAACAATGAAGCAAAAAATTTTAATAAACGTAACTAATAACTAATTATTGAATTGTTTCGATTCAGTGCAACAATTAATTCTAACTCATATTCCAGTAGCCTCTACTAATCCACCACGTATTTCAATACAAGTGTCGTAGCCCTTACGAATGTTTCTGATTACGTTCCTTAGTTCTTGAGGGCTAATATCTGCACATACCTGTCGAATTCTTGCACAAAGTTCATTTCTATCTCTTGAGCGGTTTTCGTTAACCTTTTCTGTGAGAAGTCCCCAGAGAAAAAAGTTCAAAACTGTGAGGCCTATCACGGCCTATCCATCGGTTTGGAAAATGTTCGTTAAGCCATTGCCTCACAGCTCTGGCATAATGAACAGAACACCCATCTAACTGAACAATTAAATTTGATCGTTCATTGATTGGCAGCTCGTGAATAGCATCCCAAAACTCTGTGTTTAAAAATTCTAGAAACCTCTGCGCATTAATGTTTTCCTCAAAAAAGAAAGGACCAATAATTCGTTCGTTCAATATTTGACGTTGATTTTTTGGGAATACTGGCTTTTACAGTTTATTACCCAGTTAGGATTATCCGCTGCCCAATAGCGACAATTCTGTGATGACACTACTCCATTTGTAGTGAAAGTGGCTTCGTCGGTATATAAAATATTTTTTAGGAAATTTCTTTTGTTTAAATATTCCCCTTGGGCCCATAAACAATATTCCAGGCGTCTTGCTTCGTCGTCTTCTTGAAGTGTGTGTAAAAATTTTGGCTTGACAGGTTTAATATTCTTCGCCTTGAGACATCTCCGAATAGTTTCTCGTGGAATATTCAAATCTAAAGTGGCATTCCTTATACTGGCATTACGATTATTTTCGAAATAATCTAAAATGATTTGATCATTCCTGTCATTCCTGTTTCGTCTTTGTACAGGATTACTTTTTAACATCATTTTTGATACTGCACCAGTTTCATTGAATATTTTATTTATTTTATTTACCGTACCGCAGTTAATACGAGGACGATCTGGAAGTCTCTCATTAAATACTCTACAAACCTCTCTAACACTTCTAACATCATCTCCCGAAAGACGTACAATTTCAATTTTCTCTCTTACGCTCAATCTTGCAGCCACGACACAAAATAATTCGAACAACTGTAAGGTAAATATTGTTGATAATAGTACACTTAAATCTTTCACAAGTGTCAAACTGTAATATCATTTCTATGGCAACTAAGATTTAAATTGAAATATTAGATCTTAGTTTTAGTTAATTTGCGTGAAAACTTGAATGTAATTCCGTTATTTTCATTAAAAATATTTACGCTATTTGTTTTTTTTTTTCATCTGGCGGCACTTTATTGTTGAAATCATAAAAAAATATTCTCATGGCTATATCTGTTGATATAGGGTGTTTTTTGTAACTGTTAGCTGAGTGAGTTTTCTAATTTTTGAGTTGTCATAACTTTGTTAATAATGAATATTTTTTCATGAAATTTTGGTGACACCTATTTAGAGGCACTCTGAATCCAGTGGCGTAGTGATTTTTTCAATAAAAAAATCGCTAATAAAAAATCCCGATTTTCGACTAAGAAAAAATATCGTAGTATGCCCTGAAACTGTAATAAACATTTCAAATTTTGTCCTAAGGTAGACCTTTTAGTACTTGACATTTAAAAAAAATATATTAAAATCGGTTTACAACTTCAAATTTTAGGGGGGTCACACTGTATGTCACTGTATGGGTCACACTGTATGTAAAAACATAAAAAGCAACCTTCTTATCTATCAAATTCTTACATGCACACCAAATTAATGATCAAGATAATTGATATTGGATTCGTATATTTGTTTATTTTGTATTATTTTAGATTTTTGTTTTCCGCTAACCAATTTGAACTAGCGGTATTAATGCATTTGAAAAAAATCTGCATCTACACGGTTGAAGAACAAAAACAATGTCTCTTGGCCCGTGTTTAGCATCATTCGCTAATATAGCTCACCTAGTCAGCTTCAGCAGCAGATGATAAAGAACCAATTCGAGAGCCAAGCTGAGGACCAATTCAAGGTTCAAGTCGAGTCCTATCTCGAGGCCCAAAATGTTTTTGGGGGATATTTTACCTAAAATTCTTGGAGGACTTCTTTCGAGGTCCTATCTCATTCTAATTCGAGGTCCAAGTTGAGGTTTAGTCTCAAGGCCCGCTATGAGCACGGTAGCTTCTGATTGGTCGACTGGGTGATGGCAGAAAGTGGAGGAGTAGGGGGTGCTTATAGCGCCGCATCCCCTACTATAGCCCACAACTTTTTGTTGTGGACCTAGGCGGGAGTTATTAGGCATATAATTATAACTAGGACATCCAGAAATGGTAACTTTTCTTTTAATTTCACTCGCAAGCTTTATAATTCGGGATCTGAAACGCTACAAAATCTTCTACTTTGTTCTTATCCGTGTCGAAAATGGCCATCTACGTATGGGTTCCAACTTCGTGGAATGACAACGGATTTTCCATTGACACACTTTTATGCTTCTTGTAGAAATAGTTGAACTGAAAGCAAATGTGTGTAAGCTGGAGCCGCTAACTCATCACATAGCTCATAAATTTCCAAAGATTCCTTGAATATTCGGTCGTTATCAGCTTGAAAACATAAATTACGTAGATATGTCAAAGGATACTATAATTTCTCCTACTCTTTACCTTACATCTTTGATTTTCTCAATTAGTTCTTGTGAATTAGTGACACTATACCTAAATTACAAAATGGATATGTTCCCGAACGATTTTGTTGGCCGTTTGGTGATCTTTTATGTAGAACATATACTATAGTGATCTTCATTATCTCCTGATGAGGAACACGCACGTCGAGAACCAGAGTTTTTGTTCTTTCCCCACATCAGCATGTGATATGTGAAAATGTCCTTGTAGGACGAAAATGTAGTAACGTTAGCTACAAATACAAAGTGCTATAAAAACATAGGAAGTTTTATTTTTCATTTTCCATGATGATCTCCTAGCATCTAGTAACGTCTACATCCATCAATTTATTATTATTGAGATCTTCTATGAATATCATATATTTATGGTAATTGAAGGCTCGCGGAAACGTAGAAGATTGGCTTGGAAAAGTCGAAGAGTCCATGTTCCTATCCCTGCGTAGATTGATGAAGCAATCCTTGAGCCACTACCAGATCGTGACTAGAACCGAATGGGTTGTGTGTCATGCTAATCAGATTATACTCACAGTTTCTCAGATAATGTGGGCCAAAGGTGTTCATGAAATTCTAGACGGAGACAGTGATACTCACAAGAAGATGGAGCAGTACGAGAAGAAATGCATACAGGTATAAGTCCAGATCTAGATTAATTGATTAGTGCTCCACAGTATTCGTATTTCTTCATATATTCTATCCGAAAGTAATGCATTGACTATTTCCTAGGATTTGAATGACTTAGCAGCATTGATAAGGACAGATCTGCCTTCAGTGACAAGAAAAATTCTAATCGCCCTCATAACTCTTGACGTTCATGCGAGAGATACAATCCACAACATAGTGAAGAGTGAAATATCAGACAGGTAACTTTTAGACTAGTTTCGAAAAAGTGTAGCGCGTTACATACCTTTTTTCTAAACAGCAACAGCTTCGAGTGGCTCAAAGTATTGAGATACTACTGGGACGAAAACATAGATGATTGCGTAGCCAGAATGTCGAGCGCCTCCTACGTCTATGGCTACGAGTACTTGGGAGCAGCGGGGGTGTTAGTGATCACACCACTCACGGATCGATGTTATCTTTGCTTGATGGGAGCTCTTCAACTGGATCTTGGTAATTCAACGCAATAAAGTATTCTGGTTGTGTGAGCAACCTCGTAGCTCTGGATCTCAATAGCACTATCACATCTTATTATGTCTGGTCTTCGCCGTTCACCAAGGCGGTCTTTTAATTGATATATTTGTGAGATTTTCAGATCACCAATACCTCAATACTTATTCACTTGAGTTTCACCATATCGTTTCCTAATCATATCAAAAATCTTTTAAATGTACAGTGATTGTTCGATTTCATCTTTACAGAATACTCCCCTAACTACTTTGAAATAATCATACTGTCTACTGCAAAAACAGTAACCTGGAAGCACTGAATAGGGGCTCCTCTGCTATTTCTTCTTCATCTGCACTGTATTGATTCTCAACATTCCACAGTCCAGTACATTACGGTTTCTGATGAAAGACTAGATCTACTCGCTGGATATCGCTGACTTTACTTGTATTATTCATACGCAAACAATCATAAATGTTTCAACTTCAATGGGGAATGTTCCTCAATTTGAGTTATTACAACAAATGCAAGTTTGAACAAAATAAAGAGTTTTTCAAATTCACTTCGAAATGTATTCAAATTGATGTTTCAAATGTTGGGTTTTAATTTTTACAGGAGTTTGTTTCTAATTCACATATTGGCAACAGCACCTATATCAAGTTGAAATAATTTATACGTACCTAGATATTCATAAAAAAAATGAAAAGTATCTTTATGAATCACAATTAAGGCGAAATATAAATTATAGTTCAATACCACCTACACAAGCTACATAAACAACAGTTGTTTTGTTATTCATTTATATAGAGGAAGATAGGTTAGGTGCATAAAATGTCATGCGTCAAATAGAAATGTTGAATGCATTATTTCATTCCTCTTTTTTAAGTATTTGAATAATTTTTTAAAGAAAAAGGTTGAAATGATAAGTTTCAAATGCGTTGTTATAGAACTCTTTTATGAAAACTACTTGATTTTCGTCAGGAGGAACATTCTCCATTGTCTCTGCACGCACCATGTCAGATTTCTTAACTAACAAACAGAACGTCGTCTATTCGTTTAATCTTCTTTCATTTTTGAAATGGGGCGGGAACAAATCCAACATATTGAAAATTGTGAAAATCAAGTTAGGATTATGCGACATATTACAATGTTTTGCTTTATTTTTCAAATATTTCAATCATTATTCTGCTATTCCATGCAGATACAAACAAATTGAAAATTATGAAAATTGGTCGCGCAGTTTTCGATTATAAAGCGTGTTTTTTATAGAGGTATAGAACTTTAAGTTGCAATAAAACAACGATGGATTATTCGATTGACACGAATTTTATTTATCCGAAAGATAATCTTGTGGCATTACATTTTAAATATGATTTCTGGCATATGACCGCCACGGCTGGCGCGGATGTAGTCCAATCTGGACATCCAATTTTCGATGACGTTTTCCAACATTTGTGGCCGTATATCGGCAATAACACGGCGAATGTTGTCTTCCAAAAGGACAAGCGTTTGTGGCTTATCCGCATAGACCGATGACTTTACAAAGCCCCACAGAAAGTAATCTAGCGGTTTTAAATCACAAGATCTTGGAGGCCAATTCACAGGTCCAAAACGTGAAATTAGGCGGTCACCAAACGTGTCTTTCAATAAATCTATTGTGGCACGAGCTGTGTGGCATGTTGCACCGTCTTGTTGAAACCATATCTCCTGGACATCATGGTTATTCAATTCAGGAAGGAAAAAGTTAGTAATCATGGCTCTATACCGATCACCATTGACTGTAACGTTCTGGCCACCATCGTTTTTGAAAAAGTACGGACCAATGATTCCACCAGCCCATAAAGTGCACCAAACAGTCAGTTTTTGTGGATGTAACGGTGTTTTGACATACACTTGAGGATTACCTTTAACGTAGCCATTCAACCAGAAGTGCGCTTCATCGCTAAACAAAATTTGCTTATGAAAATTGGGAACAACGGTAATCTCGTTTTGGGCCCATTCGACGAATCTACGCCTTACTTGATGATCGTTTGGCTTCAATTCTTGCACGAGTTGGATTTTGTAAGCACGCAAACCAAGATCCTTCCGCAAAATCTTCCATAAAGTGGATGGACACAGATCCAATTCCTGTGCTCGATGGCGGATGGACTCCTCCGGGTCTTCCTCAATGCTACGCTGTACAGCAGCAAGCGCTTCTTCTGTACGCACCGTACGGCGTCTCTGGGGATGCGAGTTATCAATAAGAGTAAACGTGGTGCGAAAACGTTCCATGGTTAATCGAATTAACTGCTCTGATGGACGATTTTGACGACGATAAAATGGACGTAGTGCGCGATACGTTTTCCGCACAGAACCATTATTTTAGAAATAAAATTGCACTATTTGCAAGCGTTGTTCAGGCGTGAGTCTATTCATGATGAATTGCCAAACCAAATTAAAAATAAATCACTTGACAGCTGTTAAATCGGTCGCCATCTTGAAAAGTAATGCCAACTTAAAGTTCTATACCTCTATAAAAAAACACCCATTAAATGTTCTAAAATGTTGGTACTTAGTTTAATATATTGAACAGATATCATTCGCGAATTCTTCATTTATGTTTAGGAGGTGCTCCTGCAGGGCCTGCTGGGACCGGTAAAACCGAAACTACCAAAGATCTAGCCAAAGCGCTTGCGATTCAGTGTGTTGTATTCAACTGTTCCGAAGGTCTAGACTACAAGATGATGGGGCGGTTCTTTTCTGGTCTAGCGCAGTCGGGAGCTTGGTGTTGTTTCGACGAATTCAATCGTATCGATATTGAAGTGTTATCTGTTATCGCTCAACAGTTGATCACGATTCGAAACGCCAAGGCCGCTAAACTAGCAAGGTAACAATCGGAAACAAGATCTGTACATCGTTGATGAACTTGAATAGCGGTTATATAATATCAATTCACTATCGCCATCTATTATCATTTGCAGATTCATGTTTGAAGGCCGTGAAATCAAGTTGATTCAGAAATGCGCAGCATTCATAACCATGAATCCTGGTTATGCGGGAAGAACAGAACTGCCGGACAACCTGAAGGCCCTTTTCAGGCCGATATCCATGATGGTTCCCGACTACGGTAAGTATACTTGAGACGTATCAGAAATAATTTTTTCAAACAACACGCTACCATGAGGCAGTCTTTTGTTCGCACTCTAATGATAATTAACTTGGTTCTGAAACGAAGTTTTGATCAAACATAATTGATGTGAATTGCAGCTCTGATCGCAGAGGTGATTCTCTACTCTGAGGGATTCGAATCTTCCAAGAATCTGTCCCAGAAAATGGTCCAGATGTACAAGCTGTGCAGCGAACAACTGTCACAGCAAGATCACTACGATTTCGGAATGCGAGCGGTCAAAAGCGTTTTAGTGATGGCCGGTTCTCTCAAGAGAGCAACTCCTGATCGAGATGAAGACGTGGTCCTCATTTGTGCTTTGAGGGATAGCAATTTGCCGAAATTCTTGTCGGATGACGCGCTGCTTTTTCAGGTTAGTGGGTGTTTCATGTTTAGATCTGATTTCTCGAAGACGTTTCATGTTGCCAACTATGTATTGCGGAATATGACTGGTTCAAAAGTATATTAGTAGAACGTAACCTATTATTTGGGCTGAAAAGTTCATATGCTAACACACAGATAGCGTTACTACTATTGAATCCATTTTTAGTTAACCCTTACGTTCAGAAGACACGTGTAGAAATTTAACAGCTGTCGGACTATTAGTTTGTGGGATAGATCATTTTGAGTGAAGCAACTTCTGTAAGTTTGAATAAAAGAAATAGAAAGTAATTTCGTGTGCTGATAAAGCATTAGTGAAAACCTCACAATGAATTGTTCGCTGAATACATTATGGATTTTCATCAGGTGTCGGTCGATTCCATTACATATAAAGAAATGATGCCAAGATTTGACTTGATGAACATTATTATAGCTTAAACGTGGCAAAATTGCTTCGAATAGCTTTCATATCCACCGTATTTTCCAGATCTAGCCCCCATTGACTTTCTTCTGTTATCAGACATCGAAAGAATGCTCACTAGAAAGAAATTTGGCGCCGATGAAGAGGTAGTATTCGAAACTGAGGTCTATTTTGCGGCTAAAGACAAATCGTACTATAAAAATGGTATAAAAAATTGTATGAATGCTATGATCGTTTTATCTTCCTCGATGGCAACTATATTGAATAATGAAATCAAGTTTCATCGGATTTTTTTTCTATGTTAGCCTACGAACTTTTAACTGTTAATTACCGTAAAAAAGAATCTTCACCTTTCGAGAATTATTTAGAATCTGGTTGAAAATATTTCTTTAAAACACCATGAAAACAAGATCCATGAAGAAAACCTTCAGTTTGAAATTTCCCATCAGCTTGAAGTAACCGTTTTAAAATGAACCAAAAATATGTGAATTAATGAATAATGCAGTTTTCGGTGAGACAATGGAAAATATAAACATAACATAAATATTTTCAAAATTATTTCGACAAAATCAACTATTTCAGAAATTATTTGATATTTCAAGTTCATATTGATATTTTAGTGGTCATGTAAGGTTCTCATAAGAAGACCGCTGAATGAAAAATTGCAATGTGAGTATTGCAAAGTAATTTTTATATATTTTATATATCATACAAACGTTATATGAGAACCAATTTCTTTATTTACGTTCGCCGTTATTTGAAGAAGTGAAACAAACTAAATTTCAGGGAATTCTCAGTGATCTTTTTCCTGGCATCGAATTGCCAGTGCCTGATTATGGAGTCTTCCAGAATACAATCATCGACTGTATGGTCGCCCAGAATCTGCAGCCTGAACTCTGCATGATCAATAAAATCATCCAGCTCTACGAGACCATGATAGTGAGGTGGGGAGTTATGTTGGTAGGGCCGACTGGAGGTGGAAAAACTTCCATTCTCAATGTAATGAGTTGACACTTATTGTGATTGCCCAATTCATAAAAATGTTTTCTTCAGACGCTTAATAAAACCTTGACTCAGATGCACACGTTGGGCATCGAGGGTTCGTATTTCAGACCAGTCCGCACTTATACCATGAATCCCAAAGCCGTAACTGCTGGAGAATTGTATGGTGAAGTGAACCCTTTCACGCTGGAATGGAGAGATGGACTGATGGGGATTATGATGAGAACAGCGGTTGGGGTGAGTATCAGCCAAAAAAACAGGTAGAAGAAGTTCGTTTCAAACTGTACGTACAAGACCAATAGTATTGAAAAAAGTGCAACGCATTCATGCACTTTTCTGAAAACTAACATATTCTAATCCATTCAGAATTGCTATAATGCGAAGTGCGAAATGAAATAATACTTATTTGCCAGGCTGGCATTGATGATGTAATTTTTGTAATTTTTTGTTTTTTTACTTCAACAAAGAACTCTTATCATCTGACTTCAACTATGTATGACTTTGTTGAATTTTATTCACTGTTTGATAGTTCACGACGGAGGAACATCAATGGATAATATGCGATGGGCCCGTAGATGCTGTTTGGATAGAAAATTTGAACACCGTGTTGGATGACAATAAAATGTTGTGTCTTGCCAATTCTGAGAGAATTAAGCTGACGCCGTGGGTGCACATGGTGTTCGAAGTGCAGGATCTGGCGCAAGCGTCGCCCGCCACAGTGAGCAGGTAATTATAGCAAACTATTGTAACCATCAAAGTTATTCTGATGAGTGAAATCTAAATTTTAGTAGTACTGTTTCTAATCGTTCTATATGACCGAGTACTTTGATCAATATCGAACCATTTTTTAGCAAAATTTCGTCCATCAATTACATCTGACATCGATTTTGCATCTTCATTTCATCTCCAAACAGCTGTAGGTGGATAAACACGAAGCATTATAGAAAAAACTCGTATAACTACCATACTACACAAGAGGGCAGAGAATTGTTTAACAGAAGAAACACAAAATCAAAGTAGTAAAACGATAATGTAATTAGTTGGTTCTTTATTGGCCAAACTATTGCAGAATTCCTTTGTCTTGAACTACTCAGAACTTTTGATCGATAATAAATACTATTAGTTTTTATTGGTCGACACAGATTTTCCGTTATTCCTCTACATTCGGTGTTGTGTACCAACGGTTTCATAATTTGATTTGGACTGAGCTGTCCTCATTTATTTTTTATGTATAGATGCGGCATGGTTTATGTAGATTCCGAAGAGCTTAAATGGCTTCCGTACGTGAAATCATGGGTAGCGAAACTAAATGAAAATTTGCTCAATCAAGAAATGAAAGAATTCATGATCACCCTTTTCGAGCACGCGGTCGAAAACGGATTTATTTTCTTGAAGAAGCACTGCTCGTATTCCATTCACCAGGTAAAACCAACCTGTTTCCATAAACCACGCTAGTCACGTTCTTTCCAGGTGGAAGTCGGCAAGGCGAAGATGATTTGTTGTCTGATCGAAAGCTTCCTTTCGATGCCTGGAGCAATGGACAAGATCGGAGAGAAGAGTAAAGTCCGCACGTTCTTGTGTCAGACGTTTATACTGTCGTATCTTTGGGGAATAGCCGGAAACCTACTGGACGAAAGTAGAGAAAAGTTCGAAATTTACGTCAGAGATCAGTTTGATGAACATCCAGATGCGAGGTAAGTTGAGGTTGTGAGTGAAAATGAATTTACTTTAAAAATATCAGTAAAGGGGGTAAATGGGCCGTTTCTGGCCCATTTCTTATGAAGATTAACATGGGAAATTGCTAAGGTCCATTCTGCAATTTTTGGTTCCTTTCAAGGTCACGCGGTAGTAGATGAACTATGCCGAAAAGCAATGAAGTACATCGTTTTCCGTGCGTTTTCGATCGTTTTCCGTGTGTTTTCGATCATTTTCCATGCGTTTTCGATCGTTTTCTGTGCGTTTTCGACTGTTTTTCGTGCGTAACCGTCACATACTTGACCAACTGCGCCACGAAAGCGCTACATGAAAAAAATATCTTTTTTTTGTGACGCTTTTCGTGTAGCGCTTTCGTGGCGCAGTTGGTCAAGTATGTGACGGTTACGCACGAAAACACACGAAAAACAGTCAAAAACGCACAAAAAACGGTCGAAAACGCACGGAAAACGATCGAAAACACACGGAAAACGATCGAAAACGCATGGAAAACGATCGAAAACGCACGGAAAACGATCGAAAATGTATGGAAAACGATCGAAAACGCACGGAAAACGATCGAAAATGTATGAAAAACGATCGAAAACGCACGGAAAAGTATGTACTTCATTGCTTTTCGGCATAGTTCATCTACTATCGCGTGACCTTGAAAGGAACCAAAAATTGCAGAATGTACCTTAGTAATTTCCCATGTTAATCTCCATAAGGAATGGTCCAGAAACGGTATAGTACCTTTACTAATATCATCATCATTATTATTTATTGAACCCACGAAACATGAAGAGAGGTCTCAGCCGAATATAATTAACTAATGATTCAACTAAATAATTATTTATTGAAATGAATAACCAATAATGAAAAGATAGCGTACATTTCTTTGGTTGGATGACTAATGAAAAATGCTACTGCTATTAACAAACTAGGCCGGGAACGAAGACATTGTTTTGGAAAAAGGAGACAGAATCACACCCACAATGAAGACACTCTCATGGAGAGATCAAATAAATAACAATATGAGCCTCTCAGTTTGCAGTTAGACGGTTCACAAGAATCAAAAAGTTGCAGGATTAAAGGCACACAAATAACTATTTCAAGAATTTCTTTCACAATGGAGAAGGAAGTCCACAATGAATTGCCTTTCTTATACGTATTGGTGAAGAGGACCGACACTTAATGGGAAACATCTGTATATCGGAAACTCACTCACACAGGACACTATCTGAACCAGAAATCCACCCACCAATAATCGACTAAGAGAGGAATCATCAAGACTCTGATAGACCGTGCTTTTGGGCTCTGTAATACAAAGGAAGGTCTCGAAAAAGAAATAGGCATAATCAAAAATGACCTACAACGGAATGGCTACTCCAGAGTGATGGTAGAACAGGCCTTAGCTAGAAGACAGCAAGAACTCCACGAGGAAGAGAAGCCGCCACAACCAGTACTTGTACTTCCCTACATCAGAGGATTATCGGAAAGGATAAAAAGGATTGGGTCCAAGAACAACATCAGGACCTGCTTCAGATCTGGGAACACTATCGGTAGCAGCCTTACAAAAACCAAGCCACCAAACGCGGACTGCGATTCCAAGAATTGCATTTACCGGGTACCCTGCGAGTGCGGACAATCATACATCGGTGAAACTAAGAGGCCATTGAAAGTTCGCATTGCTGAGCACAAGAAACACACACAGCGAGGAGAAACCAGCAAATCCGGAATAGCAGAGCATGTTTGGACTCATCAACATAACATCAAGTGGGCTCAAGCTGAAATCATCCACGAAGAGGAACACTGGTTTAGGAGAAAATTCAAAGAAGCCGCGTATTGTTGTCCAACAACGCATTTAGTCAAGCTAGCGTAGAGATACGTAACATATGGAAACTTCTAATCAAGCGAAAAACGACCAATTCACGCCAAACGGTCATCTCCCGCTAGAAACCAATGAAGCAGAAAGAGAGAAGAGGGGATAGGTGAAAGCACTCGAGCGACCTATAAATAGTCAGATCTCGGAGAAATAAGTCCAGTTATCACCCGAAGACGATTGTGGATACTAACAATCGAAACGTCGTGACATAACTTGGTTTGATATCTTTTAATTTTTTTTCGTATCTTATCTACAGGTTACCGGCCGGAAGTGACATTTGGTCTTTATATATGGACGTTGTTTCTCATCGACTAGAACCATGGCTCAAAATACTACCGAAATTTCAGTACGACAAAGAGATCCCGTTCTTTGAAACGCTGGTGCCCACAATCGATACAATCCGATTCGGGTACATCATGGAGAGGCTGATGTACGTGAACTATCCCGTTTTTCTTACTGGAGACACAGGTGAATGATAACGACGAACTCCTATCGTTTTTATCACTTTTCTATATTTTTGCAGGCGTCGGTAAATCGGTCGTAGCCAAGGATGTCCTGAACAGGCTCAACGAAACTCGTTTATTCGTCCCCGCAACTTTAAACTTCAGCGCTCAGACCAGTAGCTTCAGGACTCAAGAAATTATAGAGCTGAAGCTGGAGAAGAAAAAGAAGACCTTGCTCGGAGCGCCAGTAGGAAAACGGGTTATTATTTTCGTCGATGACGTGAACATGCCCAAGCTAGAAACATATGGAGCTCAACCTCCGATTGAACTCTTGAGGTGAGCAAAGCTCTTGTGCGCAGTGTTGCTGGAAGCGTATTTGTATCTTCTCGTTTGCAGGCAACTGTTGGATTACGGAGGTTTATACGACAGAGAGAAACTATTTTGGAAGGAAATAAGAGATGTTATAATTGCGGTAGCATGTGCTCCTCCAGGCGGGGGTAGAAATCCACTGACTCCACGATTTGTGAGACATTTCGGGATGCTGTTGATTCCGCCCCCAAATGAATTTTCACTCAAGGCTATATTCAAGGTGATTTTGAAACTACATGCATGATACATCTCCCTACAAATGATTAAATCACGCTAATCCCCCTTTTTGATGTTTCAGGCCATCTTGAAAGGCTTCCTCTTTGATTTCGCCAATGAGGTGCGCGACCTGGGAGAATACATGGTCAACGCCGCTGTCGAAATCTATGAGAGGATCGCTCGCGACCTGCTGCCAACCCCTACTAAGTCCCACTATGTATTCAACCTGCGAGATCTGTCAAAATGTATCCAGGGAATCACCCAGGCTGATGCCGGAACGATGCGTGAGGAGAGTTCGATGCTGAAGCTCTTCTACCACGAGTGCTTACGAGTGTTTCACGACCGTCTGATCAACGTCGAAGACAAGTCGTACTTTTACTTGCTGATGAAGGAGATTTGCTCTCGAAACTTTGGCAGTAGCGTCGTTCAGCTGCCCGACGAACCTGTCATTACAAATCCGCCGATTTTGCTGTTCGGGGACTTTATGCAGTTCGGTGCCGAGAAGGAAAACAGGCTCTATGAGGAGCTCAGGAATATGGAGAAAGTGAAGAGCATCCTGCAGGTATTTTTTTATTGCCAGACATTCAAACGCTAGAATTTTCAATTTTTATTTGGTTCATCGAAAGAGTAATGGTGAAATGGTGAGTAATGGTGAAATTTGATTGAAAATGTATTTCCAATGAGTTGATTTATATAATGATATTCCTAACAATATAATACGTTGAATCACAAGAAACTCAAGACACAGCTAAAATAATATATTTTGTAAAAGATTGCCAATTTCGCAGTTTCAAATATTATCATTTATTGAAATATCCTCAGTATTTTCTTTTTTGTTATGTGCGTTACATTATCTCTACTATAAACATGTAATCTTTGTTTGAAGGTGATTGACAATGTAAAATTGAATTGATAGAACAAAACATGAAGAAATACAAATAAATATAATTGAAAGATGAGTATGGACCAATCTTTGCCAAGATTGAAAGCACGTGCTCGAAGATCCGCCAAGACATGTAGAATACCCACAACAGAAAGTGGGGGAAATTAGTGAGGAAACAATACCCAAACACAGACCGAAAACAGGACAACCATGAAGCCGCCAACGTCATCAACATGAGTTCTCGTCCGTTCACGGGAGTAAAGGAATCCTTGTTGAGGAAAGGCCTAAATTTCGCCATTGCGCCAACATCTTTGCCCACTTTGGAGATAATTACGGCAGTGGAATCTACCAGTTCCCTTACTGACCCGACCGAGGCAGAATAATTCAGATGGAAAATCAGAGAACAGCTGGATCGAGAACCAGTTCCAACATCTAACATCAGCAATGAAGAACGTAGAGCTCTGAACGGCCTACGTAGAGACAACACAATCAAGATCCTACCTGCAGATAAAGGAAACGCTACTGTGGTGATGGATACTGTACTCTACGAACAGAAGATCGAAGAGGTTCTTCAGAAGGGACGATATACAAAGATCGTACGGGACCCTACTGCATCAATTGAAAGGAAGTTGTACCAGATTTTGAAAAAACACCAAGTTTATTTTTTGGACAAGAAAAGATCATCGCTAACACCGCACCACAGTAAGCCCCCTCACTTGTATGGACTACCCAAAATCCACAAGAAGGACGTTCCACTTAGACCGATCATCAGCTCCAGAGATTCAGCTACTCAAAATCTGTCTAGATTTTAACTTCCCATAATACAACCATCACAAGGAAAAACATCGTCTTTTGTGAAGAATTCAAGGCATTTTGTCGAACTACTAGGGTCAATTGAAGTCACACAAGAAGATCAACTAATTAGCTTCGACCTGGAAAGCCTTTACACCAACGTTCTGGTCGAAGAAGCACTCCAAATCATACAGAGAAAGCTATCCGAAGACGGGAACCTGAAAGAGAGAATGAATCTACCTATAGAAGTGATTATGGAATTACTAGGATGATGTGTACGAAACTGTTATTTCCAACTGAAGGACGAATTCTTTACACAAGATGAGGGACTGTCAATGGGATCACCACTTTCACCAGTCATGGCCAACATATATATGGAGTGGTTTGAAAGTCTGACCATTGAAGAATCCCACAAGAAACCTCGGGTCTGGTTGAGATATGTTGACGACACCTTCATAATATGGAACCATGGGAATACTGAACTAGACGCTTTCCTGAAACACATCAACAGCATGAGACCATCCATCACTTTCACAATGGAGAAGGAAATCCACAACGAATTGCCATTCTTAGACGTTTTGGTGAAGAGGACCGACACTAAGTGGGAAACATCTGTATACCAAAAACCCACTGACACGGGACAGTATCTGAACCACGAATCCAACCACCATCAATCAACTAAAAGAGGAATCATCAAGACTCTATTAGACCGTGCTTTCAAACTCTGTAATACGAAGGAAGGTCTCGAGAAGGAACTAGACATCATCAAAAATGATCTTCAACGGAATGGCTACTCCAAAGCGATGGTAGAAAAGACTTTGGCTAAAAGACAGCAGGAGTCTGGCAAAAAAGAGATGCCGTCACAACCAGTGCTTGCACTTCCCTACATAAGAGGATTATCGGAAAGGATAAGAAGAATTGGTTCCAAGTACATCAGAACCTGCTTCAGATTTGGTAACACTATCCGTAGCTGCCTCACAAAAACCAGGCCACCAAACGCGGACTGCGATTCCAAGAATTGCATTTACCGGGTACCTTGCGAGTGCGGAGGATCATACATCGCTGAAACTAAGAGTCCATTAAAAGCTCGCATTGCTGAGCACAAGAAACACACCCAGCGAGGGGAAACCAGCAAATCAGGAATAACAGAGGGTGTTTGGACCCATCAGCACAATATCGAGTGGTCCCAAGCTGAGATCATACACAAAGAGGAACATTGGTTTAGGAGAAAATTCAAGGAAGCCGTATACATGCTGTCCAACAACGTATTCAGCAAAGCTAGCGTAGAGATACGCAACATATGGAAACCCATCATCAAACGAAAAATGGCCAACTTCCACCAAACGGTCATCTCCCACTGAACCAGTGAAGCGGAAAAATGGAAAGTGGGGATAAGTGAAAGTATTTAACCGGACTATAAATAGTCATCTCTCGGAGGAATCAGTCCAGTCATCACCCGAAGACGACTGTAGATACTAACAATCGGAACGTCGTGAACTAACGTGGCTTGGAACCTCTCAATCTTTTTTTTATATATTTATTTGAATTTCTTTATTTTTTGTTCAATCGTTTTAATTTTACTTGTATTTTATTTCACTATTATTTCATTTCAGGTTATTTTTGCTTAATATAATTGTTATTTTCAGCTATTTATTTTTAATTCTTTTTTTTTTCAGTTGTTTTAGGGGTTTCAAATCAATTTATATTATACTATGGAAGTCCGAATTAGTGAAATTCATGTAATGTTTCTTGGGATGAATGAATGTATCTTGAAATTATTTCTAACTAAACACCATACCATGGATTTTTTAAAAACTCAACACGTTACAGATAAAGAGTTTAAACCTCCGCCCGAAAAAAATGTTTGGTACTCCCTTATTATCGAGTGAATACTCACTTTTACAGGACTATCTAGACGACTTCAATCTCCTAACATCCAAAGAGATGAAGCTCATCTTCTTCATGATGGCAATAGAACATTGCGTTCGTATCGCACGAATTCTCAGATCGGAGAGAGGTAACGCCCTTCTGGTAGGGGTCGGGGGCATGGGCAAGCAGAGTCTAACTAAGCTAGCGTCTCACCTCAACCATTACAAGTAAACACACTTAACCTCGCAGATTCACTTAGGCTTACGCTCTCACTGTTGCAGATGTTTCCAAATCGAACTGACGAGGAACTACGACCACAGTTCGTTCTTCGACGACCTGAGGAAAATGTGCTTCCACGCGGGCGTCGAATACGAGGATAGCGTCTTTCTCTTCACCGACACGCAAATCGTCCAAGAAGAGTTTTTGGAAGATATCAACAACATGCTGAATTCAGGTACACTGATTCTTCGGTATGAGGTCCAAACTCTGCATTTTTTATTCTATGGAGATTGCTTTTGGGTCTCTTCTGCTCCTATATGCACGGAGGCTACATTTATTGCCAATCGTTGCAGGTGATGTTCCAAATCTGTTCGAGGCAGACGATTACGAGAAGGTGATCATAGGAACGAGGCCCGCTGCTAAAGAAGCTGGAATAGACGAAGGGAATCGAGACGGTATATATGACTACTTCGTCAGTCGCGTACGGAGCAAGCTTCACCTGGTTATATGTATGAGTCCAGTAGGAGATGCTTTCAGGTAACTTGATCGACCAACCACTTTTGCATCATTTTGAATGATTTCACCTTTTTAGGCGACGCTGTAGAATGTTTCCCTCGCTAGTGAATTGCTGCACTATAGACTGGTTCGAGAAATGGCCGCGTGATGCGTTACTTTCGGTTGCTCAGAACAGTCTGAGAGATTTGGGCAGCGAAGAGGTCTGCAACAATTTGGCGATTGTTTGCGTCGCTATTCACGAGGTGATAGTGTCAATTTTAATATGTGAAGTATTCTGTTTTAATCCCAAATGGTTTAACTCATTTCTTTTCAAAATAGCTGATTCTGGTTGCTTGGTGAAACCCATTCTCAATTTGTTTAGTGATATCACTCACTACATATGTACGGGTAGTGATATTGGGTTGTTTCAAAGGTTGTTTTGTTTTCAAGAGTCTACATTAGAGTTCAATATCTCAGTAAATACTCTAAGCAACCTATTAGTATTACGTTTATCTACTGAAAAATATGTTCATTTAATTTTTTACTTTTTACCCACTCGTCTGTTCTGTGGAAATTGAAATTTCTTTCAGAGTGTTGAAGAAATGACTGAGAGATTTTACAATGAAATGAGGAGGCACTATTATACAACGCCTAGTAGTTATTTGGAACTGATCAAGCTGTACAGAGTTACTTTGAAAGTGAAAATAGAAAAAGTTACGAAAACGAGAGATCGTATAGCCAACGGTTTGAAGGTAAACCGCACGTTTAGACCATAAAAAACTTTTTGAAACTAGTGCGTTACAGAAATTGTACGAAACCAACAGCGTTATTGATTCTATGAAAGAAACCCTGATTGCTCTGGAGCCCGAACTCGCAAAAAAATCCGTCGACGTTGCCGAGCTGATGAAGAATCTGGCCAAAGAACAGAAACAGGCAGATAAAGTTCGATTCATCGTCAAAGGAGATGAAGAAGTCGCTAAGGTAAAATCAAGGCATAACTCACCTGACACCAAAGTATTATGGTGTCTGCTGCGGCACTCTTTCTCCCATTGTCAATATCTTATGAACTTTATGATTTACTATAGTTCTGGTATATTCTCAGGTTAAAGCTGATGAAACGCAAGTACTGGCAGATGATGCCCAAAGGGATTTAGACACTGCATTGCCAGCGTTGGAGGCCGCAAAAAAAGCACTGGAAGCGCTCAACAAAAACGACATCAACGAAATCAAAGTGTTTCAAAAACCACCAAAGCTCGTACAGTTCGTAATGGAATCTATCAACCTACTCCTTGGCGCAAAGTTAGTTCAACTTTTTTTTTGTAGCCTTCCCTTAAACAATCTCTTGTTTTTCAGAACCGACTGGGCGTCAGCAAAAGTTGTACTTGGAGATGCTAACTTCTTAAAGAAGCTGCAAGAGTACGACAAAGACCACGTTAGCGATATAGTTTTGAAAAAGTTGAAAACCTACGTCGAGCATCCCGACTTTACACCGGAAAAAATCGCTACGGTGTCTAAAGCGTGCAAAAGTATGTGCATGTGGGTGCGAGCCATGGATATGTACGCCAAAGTGTATAGGATAGTCGAACCCAAAAGGAAAAGGTAGGTTGGAGTAGAGTGGCAAGGGGAGTTCTAGGCCATTGACACCGGATACCTGTTTATACGTACAATAGATTCGTTGAAGCATGAAGTTTTCTTCTGTTCGTCAGATTACAAGCAGCAGAAAAAGAACTGAACCAAGTGATGGGGACGCTGAGAGAGAAGCAGCGCCAGCTGGCGGAGGTGGAAGCAATGATTGCGGCGCTAGAGGCCAAATTCAACGCAACTGTTGCTGAAAAGGAGGCTCTCGAAAACAACATCGAGTTGACTTCGAACAGACTCAATAGAGCAGGCAGGCTGAATATAGCTCTCGGTGATGAACAAACTAGATGGGAAGAGAGTGTTAAGGTAAATTTCCTCTGATTTTTTCAGCTGCATATAGTTCTGAAATGGTGAATGATAAAGAACAAAATCCAGTGCAGGCCAAGAACGTAGGTTAAATCTGGGTTGAACCGCGTCTAGTGTTCTTAGTTGTCCGATGTTTCGGCTTCAGTTTTGAAGCCATTTTTAAGGAGCTATGACTACACTGAGGTCTTAATCTGTCTACTTTTCGGGATATGATATAGTCCGATATAGATTAACCTACAATATGCCCAAGTTCTGGTAAAAATAGCAAACGTTTGCTTCTTATGTGAGACCTACGGTTTTGTAGATACGTGTGGCAGATACACAACGAAAAACAACAGCTAATCCCGCGCAGAAAACTGAAGTAAAACCATCAGGCACCTGTATAAACTCTGCCTGCAGTCAATTCACGGTTCACTCAATCTGAAATGACCAAACCGGCACTGTAAAGGAGCTATAACTCCGAAACCGTCTGCCACACGATCCTACAAAATCATAGCAACCAGAACTTGGGTAAATTTCCTCTAATTTTTTCAATATATTTATATATGCGTTTATAGAGATTTGCGATCGAAATAGAAAATTCACTGGGAGATGTATTGATGGCGGCAGCTTGTATAGCTTACTTGGGCGCCTTTACCAGTAACTACCGAATGGAACTCGTTGCTTATTGGGAGACAAAGTGTATCGACCAAGGAATTGCGTCTACAGAAAACTTTAGGTGAGTCAATTGCCCACTTGTCTAAACTTATTTCATTGCTGATAAATTTCCAGCTTGATAACAGTTCTGGCCGATCCGTACGACATTCGCATGTGGAATTCGTGCGGCCTGCCCAGAGACAAAGTTTCCACAGAGAACGCCATTTTGGTAACTCAAGCTGGTCGCTGGCCTCTGATGATCGATCCTCAGGAACAGGCTAACCGATGGATTCGTCAGATGGAGACCGATAACAACCTTCAAGTAGTCAAATTGACAGACTCGAACTTTATGAGGATTCTAGAGACCGCCATACGAATTGGGATGCCGGTTTTGCTGGAAGAAGTTGGAGAAACTCTCGACCCGACTCTGGGTCCGATATTGTTGAAACAAACTTTTATTCAGGTATGCAATTTGTTGGGTGTTTTTTTAGTCAGCTTGTAAGCTTGGTTGAAATTTTCTAGGGTGGTAGAATGCTGATCCGTTTGGGAGATTCCGATGTCGAGTATGACGAAAATTTTCGATTTTATATAACAACTAAACTGTCTAACCCACATTATCTGCCAGAGATATGCATTCAAGTCACGATAGTCAATTTTACTGTTACACCATCGGGGCTTGAAGACCAGCTACTAGCGTAAGTACCAAGAGTTTCTGTTGGACTTCGGCTCATTGATTCATTATTTTGAGGCATTCGATGTTTTATAATTTCAGTGATGTGGTCAGGTTAGAAAGACCAGAATTGGAATCACAAAGAATCGAACTAGTTGTTAGAATAAATAACGACAAAACTCAATTGAAAAACATCGAAGATAAGATACTCCGACTTTTGTATCATTCTAAAGGAAATATTCTGGACGATGAAGAATTGATCGAAACTTTGAATGAAAGCAAGGTTAATAACATTACAATAGCGTCTTGTATTCATTGCGTTTATCTGTAATGGATATATGTAGTACCATCTGTTAACTTGTTTGTAGGAAACTTCAGCCATAATTGAAGCTCGGCTCATCGAAACTGAGGCTACCGAAGAGAAAATATCTGTTGCTCGAGAAAAGTATAGATCGGTTGCGACAAGAGGATCCGTATTATACTTTGTGGTGGCACAACTTGCTGAAATAGATCCTATGTACCAATATTCCTTGAAATATTTCAATCAGGTAAAATCATTTCCTTCAGCTTTAAATTCATTGCGTGTACGACACCAACCGAGAAGTTGAGACTTGAAAACAAGTTTCGACAGTTTCCATATCAAATCTTGGTTAATGAACCGTCAGGCATATTTTCGCAGATTTTCAACAACGTCATCGAAACGAGCGAGAAAAGCGACGACTTATCCTTGAGATTGGTAATTCTTCACAAAGGAATCACCCTGGCAGTGTACACCAACATATCAAGAGGACTCTTCGAGAAGCATAAACTGGTGTTTAGTTTCATGTTGTGTGTCAGCATTTTACAGGAAAACGGTACCATAAGCGATGCGCAGTGGAACTTCCTACTGCGTGGACCAGTTGGTTCTAAAGGTGACAAATGTTATTTACAATAGAAGTGAATGCTAAGGAAGTGTGCATGTATTTCAAAGGGGTCACCAAAGGTTGTTTCAAAGGTTTTGTCCGTTTTAATGTCATATATTTTTGTAACTCCAATCTCAATAAATATTCGTTTCACTGTGTCATGGTATATACTGATCGTTAGAGCATTTTGTAGTCCATGCATGCATTGATGCATTGATGCTGTTCATTTTTTTCCAAATTTGATTGTTTGCCTCTTTCCAGCGTATTACTATATGATGTCGTTCCGTCATGAAACAAAAATGTTTTGAGCAAAAAGGTGGGCTGACGTAAGCGTGCCACGTAACTGGGTGGTCTGTCTCGTTAACTGGTTGTCTGTTTGAATTATTTATGTCCACATAAAATGCAAATCTCCCGCCATGATGTTCTGAGATGCAAAAGCGTGCGCTCTGGGTAAATGGCGAGCTGCGTAACCGTTTTGAGGACGTTATGTGACAATTTGGTACACTCTGATTGGTTCACTGCTGGGTGACAGGACACCACGTGACAATTTGGTTGAATTGGTGGTCTGTCTGCCTTGCGAGCTGGCAGGCAACCTGGCTGGTGTGTTAGGACGTCTGTCTTGCTGAAGTAACGTATATTCTACTCTCATGAAAACAGACAAAACTTTTTAAAAAACCTAATATCGAATACAATTTGAAATAAATAAGTTTCCTGTGTCATCCAAAGATATTACGTCGCGTTACATCAAGCATTTATTTTATTCAACTGAAGTAACATTCATTGAAAGTGCCTTGTTGACTAGAGAAGTTTTTCACCAGGTATTCTTCCGAAGAAGCCCGATGTTCCTATGGTGACTGACGCAATGTGGCAAGCTGCAAATTTCCTTTCATCAACTTACGATTATTTCGAAGGCCTCGGAGATGACGTCATCAGGTTGATACAAATCAGTATAGGAGATTTCAAACTCGTGAGCAAACGTTACGACAATCAAGTTATCAAGACTTGACTCTCAATTTCCAGGATATCGAAATAATTCCTAACGCTGAACCAAGCTTAATCGATTGGAACAGTACGTTGGACGACTTTGATAAGTTGATGCTTATCAAAACTCTTCAAGAGGAAAAACTAGTGTTTGCCATAACGGAATACGTGAAAATAAAACTTGGGAAAGTGTTTATCGAGAGTCCGCAGGTATCTCTGAATGTTTTGTAAGTATTATGGCAGTGTCAACAAAATTGAGCGAATCGAACAAAGTTAATTACTGGTGGACTGCTAATAATTGATGTTCAATGTGAGAGATGAATATTTGGAACAAAATTCATTTTATTTTCTCAAGTGTATTATGACAGGGGAAAAACAATTCAAAGCTATAACAACTGAGTACTAACAAAAAAATATTTCTTCAGGTACCAAGACACTTCTAACGCAGTTCCGTTGATATTCGTTCTGAGCACTGGATCTGATCCGTTCGGTGCCTTCCAGAGGTTTGCCGCAGACATGGGTTTCTCGGATAAAGTCAAATCGATCTCGCTGGGGCAAGGGCAAGGCCCAGTGGCGGAAAAAATGATACAGGAAGCCCTGGAAACAGGAGAATGGATCTTTCTGCAGGTGAATTATTGTCGACATTTATGAAACAGTTGTCTTCATCTTCGCGCTTTTAGAACTGCCATCTGGCGACTTCCTGGATGCTCGCAATGGAGAGGATCGTTCTGGCGATCGCCAGAGATAGTAACAAGGTGCACAAGCAATTCCGTCTTTATATGAGTTCGATGCCGTCGAAATCCTTTCCCGTATCAGTCTTACAGAATTCCGTGAAAGTCACCAACGAACCTCCGAAGGGTCTAAGAGCTAACGTGAGGAGGGCCTTTACCGATATGTTGGAGGACTTTTTCGAAGAGCACCGTAAGTTTGCACGATCGGCTCTTTAGCTTGAACATACAACTCTTTGATTGCTTTCACAGCTTTGGATCAAAAATGGCGGACGATGCTGTTCGGTTTGTGCATGTTTCACGCCGTAATACAGGAGAGGAAAAAGTTTGGACCGCTCGGATGGAATATCATTTACGAATTCAACGACAGCGACAGAGACTTTGCATTCAATACTCTCAAAATGTTCTGCGCCGAAGGAACTATTCCATGGGACGCACTGGAATACCTCACGGGTAACAATTATCGAATAATATTACAGAAGAATTTAGTGTACTGTAAATGAAGTAGTGCATGTGTGACATCAAAATATATTTCAGCTAATATGTTAGTGTAGATTTGGTAGAATTTATCACAATTCTGATTTTGAATGTTATTGCACATCCGGAAATCTTTTACTAATCTATAACTTTATTACAGACAAAGATAATTAATGTCGTTTACAAAACTTTCGCGGTTCCACTATGGTGACTCAGTATACGTATAGATCTTTCAAAAATGAAATCGATTTCGAAAATGTCAATTGTCAATAATGGACTATGACCATAAACAAATATTTCAACGGGCGAGTTTTCAAGAGGTATAGGATAAACTGTTCACCGAAGGCGGCTCTTAATTGGGCCATTGTTTAGCGTGCCGTGTGGCATGTCACACCATCTTGTTGAAACCACATGTCGGGAATGTCAATTCTTCCATTTTCGGCAACAAAAAGTCGTCAATCATCACACGGAAGCGCTCGCCATTCACAGTAACTTTCCGGCCATTGTCGTCTTTGAAGAAGTACGGCCCGATGATGCCACCGACCCATAATCCACACCAAACAGTGACTTTTTCGGGATGCATCGGTAGCTCTTGCAGTGTTTGTGGCTGATCTTCACTCTAGATGCGGCAATTTTGCTTGTTAACGTATTCATTCAACCAGAAATTAGCCTCGTCGCCACTATTTTTCGATAAAAGTGTGGATCTTCCTCCAACTTTGCCAGCGCCCATTCTCCAAATGTTAGACGTTGTGGGAGGTCGTGTGGTTTCAATTCTTGCACCACCTGTATCTTATAAGGTTTTACACCCAAATCCTTTCGCAAAATTTTCCACGTAGTGGAGTAACAGAGGCCCAATTGCTGCGAACGGCGACGAATCGACATTTCACGGTCATCACGAACACTGGCGGATACAGCCGCAATATTTTCTTCGGTCCTCACTCTACGTATGCGTGTTGGTGGTTTAATGTCCAATAATGTTAACTGGGTTCGAAATTTAGTCACAAGCTTCCGAATAGCCAACGGAACTGCCCATGAATTGGAAGAAGTGCACGATGCACTTTCTTCAGCATGATTTTTGATAATAAAATTCAATAATTTGCAAGCGTTGTTCATTCGTAAGTCGATTCATGGTTAAATTATAGACCAAACTGAACAAGTTTGACGATGACACGAGACACGATTCACGCGTGATCTGTCAAAAACAGTGTTGCCAAAAAGACATCGGCATTATATCAGACAGCATTCAGGAAAAGCAAACGATCAACACGTGTTTTGGGCTAACTAGCCCTCATCTACATACATCCCTAGGAGTTTAGTTGTATTAAATAGTTGTGCCTTCAATTTCACCGCCTTTCAACGAAAAATGTTTTTTTTTTAGGAGAAATAACCTACGGAGGAAGGGTGACGGATTACTGGGACTTGAGGTGCCTCAAAACCATCCTGAAAATCTTCTTTTCGCCCGAGACGTTGAAAAGAGACTACGTTTACTCCGCGTCTGGGGTCTATTATTGCCCAATATTCAAGAAGCTGGATGAGTACAGAGCATTCATTGATGAATTGCCAATTATTGAGGAACCAGAGATTTTCGGAATGCACGAAAACGCCAATATAGCTTTTCAGGTATCGGGTCGATTTTTTTCATAAACGAAAGTCGTGCAATGTTCATTTCAGATAAAAGAAACCCAAACGGTCATCCGGACAATTATGGAGAGCCAACCGAGAGCAGCAGGGGGGTCTGAAGGGAGATCTAGCGATGACATTGTGTATGAACTAGCAGACTCCGTCATTAACGATATAGTTCCCAAGATTACTACTGAAGACGCTAATATTTACTTGTTCAAGGTAAACTATTATGCTTCAATGCCCGGTAGAGGTCTGAGGTGTGTCAAAATGGTGTCAGTTAACGAATAAATTATGTGGTATATACGTCTCTATGCCATGAAACGGCATTTTCTATGTCTAATCCACGGAGAGCTAAAAGTGAAAAGTATCATACATCCATCTGTAACAGGTACCTAGAGAGACAGAACACAGCGTGTCTTGACTTGATCTGAGTATTATGGTTTAGAGAAGTATCATTGGCGATCGGTCTACAAAGAGTAAACTCTCTTTTGCTTTTTTCCAGAGAGACGACAAAGGAAGACTTCCATCTCTGACCACGGTTCTCATGCAAGAAGTTGACAGGTACAACAAACTGTTGAAAGTTATCCATACTTCTATGGACAACCTGAAGAAGGCGATCAAGGGTTTGGTTGTTATGTCGGAGGCGTTAGAGGACGTCTTCAAAGCGTTCATGAACAACCAGGTGAGGAACATTTCAGTGACAAACAAGCGCGAATTCCAAAGTTTTAGGTTCCGAGAATGTGGAGTAGGGTGGCGTACAATTCTTTGAAGAGCCTCGGAAGCTGGATCCGTGACTTGGTTCTGCGTCTGGACTTCATCTACGTGAGTAATCAAGTATTGGTTTCAATATGTTTTGTTACCATCTCGTTTGTTTTCGTTCTCTTGTAGTTCTGGGTGCGTTACGGTCACCCCACCTCTTATTGGATATCCGGATTCTATTTTCCACAAGGTTTCCTAACTGGGACATTGCAGACGCACGCAAGAAAGTACAACTTGCCGATCGATGAACTGAAGTTTGATTTCAAAGTTTTTGGATTTGTAACCGACCAAGAAGATGTGAAAAAGGCTCACGACGATGAAGGAAAAGAGGTAACGAAAAAAGATCATAGCAATACTCTTCGAGTCAACACTAACGGGGTATAGTAGAGTCTAGTGCGTTCAACATCTACTAATAGTATTTTTTGATGAAATTAATTGAGCCAGAGTTGAATACCTTTTTCAGGTTTATAGTGTGTACACTCTAATGGAGTGCCCGAAAGATGGCGTGGTTATTCACGGGCTCTTCATAGACGCTGGTAGATGGGACATGGATCTCAAGCAACTGGTAGATCCAAAGCCAGGTACTGTGAACCGCGCTAAAAACAGAGTTTTCCGTATTTTCATAAACTGATCTTTGTTTATCGCCAGGTGAAATTAATCCTTCCCTTCCCGTCTTGTGGTTGATTCCTACAAGAACCCTGCCACAATACGACCCAAGATACGTGACTCCCCTTTACAAAACATCGATAAGAGCCGGAGTACTGTCCACCACTGGTCACAGCACCAATTTCGTGATTGCAGTGTTGCTACCAACCCTAGAAAAACAAAGCTACTGGATTCTCAAGGGAACCGCTCTTTTGACCCAAATCACTGATTAAGTTCTGATAAGATAAAAATGTATCTTTCCATTTATGTTTATTGTTACCTATTTAATACAGTGATGTTTCATTAAAATGATTGTTAATATATTAGTGAGGTATTTGATGTGTCAAAATGAATAGAAGGTAAACTTTCAATAAATATATTACTAATATATTCAGCAACACCCATACAATATTAAAAATATTTCAGTATATATCACCATACCTAATTTTGGAATGCTTTTTTCAAAGCCTAAGGAATCATTATGTATTCTTAAACTAACACCGCTATCCTGGGGTTGTTTAATTTATATTTGAAGTGTTTAGAGATGAAATATGCGCCTCAATATAGTATTGAAACCCTAAAGTCACGTGGAGCCTGTGCAAAGAGTCTGCTGAATGTGAAGAATTTCTTTAGGTAGGCTTTCCCTATAATATGATCTCGATTCTTCAGAATAGTTGGTGAAACTATCCATGAATTTCAGTGTGAACGCAACTTCGGGGAGCAGTTCTGTTGATTTTGAACTGAAAATGATTTTAATGGAATTACTATAACCGATAAATAATAAAAAAGTTTTCGATATCCCAATTCTGACTCCAGAAATCACGCGTCGTAATACATATCCCACTTCTGCACCCAAAATTCGAAACATAATTCCTACTTACCTACTGCTGTGTTTAGTGAGTTGCAAGGAATAATTGCTCATGTACTTTACGAATTCCTTGTTCACATCAGGATGGAACTGCTTCAGAATGGTGTGGACGCCTACCGAAAATGCTGTACCGTCTATCTGTTCTTGACTTTTCTTGACATTACCTGAAAAAAATCAATTAACTCACTAGCTTTATATTTTCTTACTTTGTCTTACCAGTGTTCTGAGGTAAGAATAGCTTTTGTAGATGGGATATAACGAATATAAACAGGGTGATGGAGTGATCTAGATTGTTTTTAGATGTAACGTAAATCTTATTCAGCGGTTGGTTTAAACCAGCATAATCGAAGTAGCTGGAAAGAGACAGAAGCAGTGCTTCACTAGGGTGATACTTTTCAGTTTTTATATCCATCAGCAGCGATCTGCGGAAGATTAAATCATATATGCCGTTATTACCAAATCGAGCGTGCATACTTGTTCACAGAACGTAAGGATGATTCCAAGTTCTTGGCGTTGAATTTGCAAGACGTGTTCAGATAAAACGCTATCAGATTCCTAAGTAGCTGCAATTGACCAACCAGGAGTACATTTTCAAGAAAATCCGACCAGAGTTTCGTACATCTATTCACGTATGTTTGATACACTTTCGGGGGGTTCTGTGGATCATCAGATTGTTTGATTTCACTCTGAATTGAGGTTAGAATATTCGTCCAAGAGGCTATCTTGACATTCTTGTTCTCCAAGTTAGCTGAAATTCAAATTATATAGTGGGAGAGTTATATACAAACACATGTAATTGAACTGTACGTATACCTGATAGTTTTTGCAGCGCTGTAACGATCATGAACGAAAATAGTCTGTCCAGTCCTACTAGGCCTGCTACCTCAATAGCTGACCCGATAGAAGCTATACTTTCTTTACTGACAACTGATTTTCGGGTTTTGATATCATACCAAGTCAGAGTTTGATCCAGGTAAATGGAATTCCTGGAATAGGTGAAGTAAACAATTTTTAACAGGTTACCTATACCTCAAGTTTGAGAGTATTGAACACAGGCAAAAAATTTGAATAAATTGTATCTATACAAGATATTCCACTGTTGAACGACAGATATATTGACGTACAGATTTAAATATCCTGATATACGAGCTGTGGTTGGAAAATCAATGGATTTCTGGTGCAAGTCTTTCTATTTTTTTTCCTTTCAACTTTCAGTTTATCCCATGCATCAAACTCCCCTCCACGAGCTCAATATATTTTCATTCGAATTTTTCACTATTCAAAACAGTGTTTCAAGTCAGTTTTTTAAGCAAGTTCATAGTCACCATCGTGGCGCCCAACGTGGGGCGCCACTTATATAAATGTTCTTGACATACATTCATCCATAAACACTTGTGAGAGAGAAATATATAATCTGACGATTTCCGCAAGCCGAAATAGCAAAAATTCGTCGAGAAAGTTTAATGCGTGCAGCTGCGTGATGCCTATATTTCCCTCTCCGTGGTTCTATTCCTTTTTCACTTTTTCTCTATCTATTACTCTCTCACCCCGTCCCCTCTGAATTCTGTTGCCATCACAGCTGATCACAGAGACTCGGTCGTGATGAAGATTAAGATGATGATTAATTAATCAATTATTTGATGGATGTAACCGTTACTTCGTGGTAGGAAATCATAATGAAGAAAAGAGAAAAGAAACTTTTTATGTTTTTACCACTTTTATTTGTAACTAACGTTACTGTAGTTTCATCCTATAAGGACATTTTCAAACTTATATATTGTATAAGTAACTGCAGTAACGTTAGTTACAAATAAAAGTGGTAAAAAACATGGAAAGTTTCATTTCTCTTTTCTTCGTTAATTAATCAATTGATTATAAAAAATTATTTTTTTTAGCATTTTTCATTTTTTTTTTTTTTCATAAATACAAGTATTCTACTTAAAAAACATATTTATTTGCATGCTATTTCCTGAGCTTTTCAATTAATTGAGTTCAATGTTTTAAAAAAATTTAAAAATATTATTTTTTTAGTCAGATTAAGCGAATCCCTCTAGATAATCGTCAGATTATGAGACAGCACGTCTAAAACATAAAGATGAACCATATATATCTTAATCTGACGCGATTGAGTATTTCAAAATGACCACTTTTTTGGCACATTATAATAATGGCCGCGAGCTTGCGTCAGATTATTGAATGAGAGCTTTTTTGGTGCACTTAACACCCCCGTAGAAAATCTGACGCGCTCGATTTAATATTTTTTTCATTTTTAACCCTTACGTACAACCATCCACATCATGCAAACGATCAGATTAACATACCAACATTATTAAAAATAAGTAGGACATTGATGCTATCAATATCTGACGCGCTCGAGTATGTCCATGCAACAGTTTTTTTTTACATATTTAATAAACTATAGCAGCTTCCCCCACCGATGAAAAGGTATATATTATAAAACATTTTTTTCTTCTTATCATCTAAGCTTTGCTTAGAGGCTGTGGCCCAAGAGGAAACTAGTATCGTCCACCCGCATGGAATGTGGATGTTATTTTCTAACCACACCTCGTAATAATCACATTGAAGCAGGATTATGCTCCGATGAATCGTGGCAAACGGACAGAATATAGACTTACTTAGGATCTGTTAAGCGAATAACCTCTCTGGCCAGTCGACCTATAAAATTAACGCTCTGATCTGTAGGCTGATGGAGCGGTATCGGAACGTATCTGCTCTGAAACACGCTCTGCCACGGGTAAATTTTGTTACGTAGAAATCCATTACATTCTTGCTCCACGTTGTAGTTTATTATCCGCGTAACTTCTTCTTGCCAAATCCTGAGGCCGTTTATATTTATGTAATCCTAGAATTAACTTTATGAGATGAGATCTATAGGACAGACAGAGGTTTGGGAGATTTATACCTGTATATATTCGAAAGACCGCTTGTATCCGTCCATTATTTTGACGAGCAGTTTCAGTTTCTGATCCAGCTCGTCCTGTTTCGGTTTCTGGCTGAAAATCAACTCAGAATGTAGGGCTGCTGAAATGTGTTGGACAAGTTCTTTTCTGATGCCGTCTTCGAGCAGCTTTTTCGGGTCCAGACGCACCACTCCGACCAGAGTGCTTTTCATCATCCTCATACCTGGAAATCCGATACATTAATAATCGCTCATGCCCCGTTTCATTGGAAAAAAAATTCCAACCCAGTACCTTGACTAAAAACAGATATAGAATGCGTCAACTCGGCAAATTCGAACCGTTCGTCGAGCTGCGTATAATCCTTTATCTTGTCTTTATCAACTCTTGTCGGAAGCTCTTTCAGAACGGTTGTTTGCATTTCGATGATCCTCGCTAACTTCTCGAACATCATACTCGGGATGATGTGTAAAACTTTCCGTACATAAATCTCTAGTTCCTTGCTGTAGTATTGCGATACAGATATCAGGTCTTCGCTGTGTGCCTGGTTGATGCGCAATAGAGGTATTTCTAATGCGGAAGATAATTTTAAGAATACTGCTCTTAGTTTGATGACCAAGGTTGGGTCTCTTCTTATACCTGAAACAGAATTACTACTATGACAAAAAAGTACCGCGAATTTGTCACTGAAACGCAAAACATATATTATTCATCCAACAATAGCCGTACAATTATTGGAAGAATTTCAAACATGGAAGTTGAGTCGAAAGTGAAACATAATAATAATAATAGGATATAGGTCTCGGCCTATATCCATCGACATAACGCGGCCCTGAGAGTGCTTTATTACCACTTACGGCATTCTTACTGTATTGACGAGACACCGGTGTTGCCCTACGCTCCGGAGGATATTGAATCCGTTGTGGGGAACGAGAAGTGCCGAATTTATTGGAACTATTCGTTCCCCACCCTCAGGCTCATACAAGCTAATAAGCCTGATGTAGTCCTTCTCAAGCACCAGACCAAAACGATATTTGTCGTGGAGTTTTCAGCTCCTGGCGAGACGAATA